CTGCTTGCCCTTTCTTAAGGAAAGGGCAATCCTATTTATGCCAAAGGAGTGTAGTTCTCTCATTTTCCATGACTTTCCATGACTAACCAGGCTTGGTAAATGTATTAGAAATCAAGTGCGACCCACAACTAGCTTGCTAATCATGTAGTGAACGTAGAGAATCCCATAGAACCATCTTGGGTTCCTAGCCTATAGGAAGTGAAAAGGGGTCCAAGGTAGAGTACCTATAGACAAATTATGTCATAACTTAACCAATCTTGTGGGTAACTAAGGAGCGATGACGTGTAATGAATCATAGAGGGTTGTAGAAGCTTCTAGAGCTATTGTTCATGTTCCTAGGCCTCTAGTTGTAGAGATATGCCATGTGGTAGTATTGGCCCACCCCCTTAAGGAGGAGATTTCTTAATAACTTGTTTAATGAGTGTCCAAATGATATGCCATGATGTGTAGCAACAGATGTAGTAGAAGAGTTGCAGCAATCGTTGAGTAGTATTGCTTCTGTTGTTGTGTGATAAGCCAAGATATGTATGGTGACTTGTAGGTTTGAGGAGGAGATTTCCAAGTTTGCTCTTGAGTTTGATAGCAAACTGAGTGCAACGAATGTCAGTATGACATATTAGCCCAGTAACTAAGGAGTGATGATGTGTAATGAATCATAGAGGGTTGTAGAGATATGCTATGTGGTTAATGAATCATAGAGGGTTGTAGCAATCGTTGAGTAGTATTGCTCTTGTTGTTGGTGTGATAAGCCAAAATATGTATAGTGACTTGTAGGTTTGAGGAGGAGATTTCTAAGTTTTCTCTTGAGTTTGATAGCAAACTCAGTGCAACGAATGTCAGTATGACATCCAGTAATTAGCTTAAGTTGATAATTGGGAAAAGGGACTTAATATAGTGTGTATCGTGATTTGTATAACGAATGGAAGGATCTGAAGAAAGTTATCAAGTTATCAAGTTATCTAGAAAATTGACTAATCATGTATCGACTTAATAAGATAATACTGTACGCAATAAGCTGTGTGTTCTAATGATCTACATATACTACACATACGTAGTGCGCGATTCAATACTCTGATCTTAGGTTGTTGAACCACTTAAACTTCCTCTTCCACTTCAATTACAGCCTGGTTTTGACCTTCCTAAACCTCTGTAGCTGTTGAAGCTCCTCCCCTACCTATGTATGACGTTCTCTTTTGCCTTTTCCTCTTGACTCTTTCATTTGCTGCCTGTAAACTTGTAATCTCAGCTGTAAGAATCGTGGCTGAATGCATAGCCATTTAACAGCCCTTAATTAGCTGCTTGACTGCTTGAACAGTTGGGACTAGGAGGACTTTGTGTACAGTAGCAAATTAGGCTTTAAACCACTGTACTATGCAACTGCAATTCAGCTGTATTATGTGGTGTTTTAGGAACCTAAGGGCTAGGAGCCTAAGTAGATAGAGAAGGAGATAGCATCTGTAAATTCACGTCTAGCCGTGAGAGGACTTGATCTGGGTCAAAAGGGATTAGCCTAGTAGCTTTAAATCCGCTTAGGATAGTAGCTAGACTAAATGAGGTTGTACAGGCTTGCTAATATAGGACTATAAAGTCGTCCTTGTCAATGTGATTAATCCCTACTTGCATACTAGCCTCGACAGCCTTTCTATATGATCATTTTAGAACTAAAAAACAGCTATTCACCATTACTTTTACTTCTACCGCTGTACTGAGATAATCCACTTAATTCAACATTTTATATTCTTAACAAAGGCTCCGCTCAAATCTCCAATCCGTCTATCCTACCTCGTTATCTAAATTCTCGATTTTCATTATGAAATTCCAAAAACTCACAGCACTTGTCGGGCTCTTGCTGCCCCTTACTGCTCTGGCCGCTCCAACAATTGAAGATGTTACTGCCCTCGCAGATGTCGTTGACGCCCGATCAGAGGCCCAGGACAACTCTCCTGAAGCACTAGGTTTGGAGGCGTGCAAAGTACCACTTGCATTATCATCAATTCCGATTCCAAACGGGTGAACTGTCGCAAGGGACCAGGCTTCAGCTACCCTGATACTGGCGAGAGTGTATATATTGAAGTGGGAAATGCTTACCCTTTGGCTGCTACAAGACGGGCGACTGCTATCAGGGCAATTGGTAAGTGGCTCTTTCTCACTGCCTCACAATGAGGTGCGTGGTTGAACTGGATAAACTGACGCCGAATAGCACCTGGCAGAAGCTGGCTACCATTAACTGCTACGTTAATGGGTATTATACTGACCCTCGGTGTACTGCGGGTACGTATTGGTTTTTGTCAGACATTATGGAAGATATCAAAGCTAACTTGTGGCTGTAGCTGCTCTTGGAAAGTGCTAGAGGGTTATCATCTATCTATCTAATGAGGGTTGCGTGGTAGGGAGGCGGGAGGCGCCGTTGGTGAGGTTTGTGTTGTGCACTTGTGAAAACCATAATCTGCAGCACCTTTGCATATAGCTGCTATCAAGGCATTTTAGAAGGGGAAAATAAAAACGCCTAAATGAGCGCCGACCGATTTGTTGTTGAGTTGTTCAAAATGGCTGTGCTGAGCCACCATTGGTTGTATGTTGTATATTGTACGTGCATAGCCTTGCAGCTAGCAGCCATCACAGCCATCACAGCCATCTCCCCCCATCATCGTGTTTTCGTAGTCTGTTATATGAAGTCAGTTATCTTTATCGAAGATTATTCATGAGTGCGTTGAGCAGTGAAGACATCTGTACTTGATATGGCTGCTGCACTTGGCCTCGTAGGCGGCGACTTCACCGCGGCCGTTGACCTCGTCACAACGGTAGTTAATGCGCTCCGTGAAAACAGGGAGGCAAGTGAAGAATATTTCGAGCTTCTGCGCCAGCTCTATTCTCTCCGGATAGCTCTACTACGAGTTAAAGCGCTCCACACTGGCGATTCGCAGCACAGAGAGTTGGTTGGCCTCCGACAAGCGGCCGCTCAGTGGAATATATGCTTGAGTACAGGCGGCGACTAGATATAACCCAACGGCAGCAACAACAAAATACAGACGTCACGTATGCACAAACACTTCCCACAGGCTCAACACACACCCCATCACAACCGACACACCCAGACGACTATCAACAGTATCATCGTTTGTATCATGCTAAACTGCAGATTAAAAAAAACCCACCACATGCCCCGACAAATCCACCAGCGCCCACCCCATCACCACTCAATAATCCACAATCTTAACCGCCTCCTGCACATTCTCCGGCAAATCCTCCAACCTCACCAGCCCCAACGCCACACAATCCCCCCAGAAGAACATCGCCCGATCCTGCGCATACGCCACGTAATCAAACTCATCATCCTCCTTATCCTCGCCCTCCACATTCCCCCCTTTTCCCCCCCTCCACCTCCTCACCCGCACCATCCTCCAAATCCAACTTCTCCATCTCCCCCACCTCACCCGCGGCGCACCAGCACTCGCCGTCCGACACGCAGCATCATACTCCTCCAGCTCCGGGATATTCGCCTGCACAATCCCCCACGCAACCCACTGCGCTGAATTCGCGACTCTCCACCACCTTGCCTCAACCATCAGCTCATCCACCCTGCGTTCCACATCCGCAATCCTCCTATGCTCCTCCTCCGCATACCCAACCGGCGCCTGCTCCCCCACCGGCGACCCTCTTGAATCCAGCATAAACGCTGAAATCCCCGCGTTTCCCGGCCAGGGCTAGGCACCACCTTGGGTGTCGCGGAGGCGGATGCAAAGCCCGAGAATTGCGGGCGGTGGTTGAGATAGGCGCGGATGAAGCGGCGTTGCTCGGCGGGGGTGGGGAAGGATTTGGTGTTGCAGAGGTAGGGGGTAAAGGGTTCGTGGTAGTTGTAGCACCATTCTGTGAAGTGGTTTGCGAATTCGAGACCGGGGGTGTTGCCGGAGGCGTATTCGAAGTCGATGACGACGAGTTGTTTGTGGGTGTTTGCGGGGAGGAGGAGGGGGGATTCGGTGGTGGGGAGGAGGCGGAGGATGTTGCCGTATTGGGTCTGTGGGGGGTTAGGTTTCGATTCGACAGGAGAGTGGATGGTAAGAGGGTAGAAGGAGACGATGGTATAAAAGAGAGAAATGATGAAAAGAGAGGATAAACATGAAAAACTCACATCATTATGCGCAAACACCAACTTCTCCCTCAACCCCGCCACCCCCCCATACTTCTCATTCAACCACCCCCTATACCTCTCCACCATCCCCCTAAACACCGACCACTCCACCCCACACACCAACCCCCTCTCCCTCCACGCCGGCACCTTCTTCCCGCCATCCCCCGTCTCGGGATACGTATCCAGGAAACTAATCACACGCTCGCACCTCTCAACCCACTTATCCCAATTCCTCCACACAAACGGCCCTTCATCCCTCTCCGTCTCCAGGAGCTCAATCCCATCATGCAATTCCCGCATGCGCTTAGCGATCTGCTTCGACGTCTCCGGATCGCGGAGGTCCCTGGGCGTGAGAGTGGTGGATATGAAGTACTCCTCGAACCTCCCATTCCTAAACGTCCCCAGCAATCTCGGGCCGATCTTCTTGCGCGCGAGTCGGCTCAAGATGCCGAGCTCCGCGTCGCGGTCGATAAGATGCTCGACTTGTGGGCCGTAGATTCGGAGGAGGAGTTTGGAGGGGCGGGCTTTCGATTTACTGGTCGGGTCCGAGGGGAGGGCGGGGGGGGAGACGACGTAGACTGCGTTTGTGAGGGCGCCGCTTAGGCGCTCGACCTCGAGGTCTGCGCCGCTGTCAAGGGGGACGCGACGCCATCCCTTAAGACGGAGTGTGTGTGCCAGTCTCAGGATCTCCGATTTGAAAGTAACCCACACCTGTGCCTCTTTGTCTGCGCGGCGGCCGGAGGTGGTGGGTGTTGTGGTGCCGGAGGCGTAGCTGAGGGTCTTGGAGTTATCGAGGACGACGTCGCAGCTGGGGACTATGACGTCTCCATCGAAGTACTCCGTGTCCGAGGAAGCATTGACGGAGTAGCGGCGCGACGTGTACTTGCGCGACGAGTAGGAGGGTCGGCGCGGGCGGATGACAGGGCTCTCTGGGTTGGGGCGGTATGTGGATTTCACTTTACTGTCTTCGAGGATCGATTGCAAGTCTTCGAGGGAGATGGTGCTCAGGCACGAGTCCTGTGATTCTCTGCGGGCGGTGGTAGGGCTGTTATTCTCGTTCCCCCCTCGCCACGCGGGTGTGCCTTATGCTTCCTCGCCTTCCTCGCGGCCGTCTTAGCCTTCTGGACATGCAACCACTCCGAGACCTGGCTGAGGAGCTTATCATGCTGATGATGGCGTTGATGTCTCTGAATATACGGCCCATTCCCCGACGAGCTCTCCCCGGACTGACTCATAGCCAGCCTCGGGATGTCCTCTTGGCTCGCCTGGCTGACGAGGGAGTTCTTGGAGGAGTTGCTGAAGGAGGAGGGCGTGGGGCGACCGGTGAGTCGCTTGCCGACGCCTGCGGTGAATTGTTTTATGGGTGGTGTGTCGAGGGGTTGCATTGGTGGGGAGAGCTTGGGCTCTTCAATGGATACGACTGTGTGCACCAATTCGAATTAGTATACATAAGACAACAAAAGAAGGATAGATAAATAGATAGCTGCCCTTGCATGCAAACACACACCCCACAGCCGTGTCTCGTGCCCGATTGCCCGATCTCGCTCACGCCCCCTTGCATTTGCATGGGGAAAAACTAGATATGTGCGGATTTTTTGGGGGATGGGGGGTGACATACCCTTCGTAGGCCCGCTCTTGGGGCTTGCCCCGCCATCGTCGCCTCGGATGGCCATGATCATGGCGGGCCGCAGCGGCCTCTGACCTCCTCCACCTCCGTGGCTGTTGCTGGTGGTGGTGCTGCCATCACCGCCGGGTTTTCGGTCTGGGTCTTGTGGCGGCGCCGCATTCCTGTCTGTCATCTCCTACACCGCCCCGGTTGGAGGAGAATGAAATGGGGCTATATGGAAACAGTAGTCCCGTTTTCGGAATTTGTGTCTTGCTTCTTTCCTTGAGGCGTGTTGAATATATATATATATATATATATCTATATTTGGAGTTTGTATGGATCGAAAGAAAGATAGTAGGCAATTGAAGCAACTATGCTCAGAAGTTGTAGGGGTACCAAGCATACGCAATGACTGGCACTTTTAAAAACTTGGGGATTGGGACCGAGCACACACCACAGGATCACCCCACCAACAAAAAAGCACCAGCCAACCAGGACAGCGGCGGTACATTCCGCCCTGGGAGTGGGAGGGTTGTTTCTTATGAGGATTATCATACCATGTAAGTGTGCATACTAACATATTAATAGGCTTCAATAATAAGAGGTCTGTACTACAGTTTTGGTTACACATGAGAGAGATGAGGTCACACATCTGGTAAGAGTATTATAATCTCTCTAAACACTGCTGCTGCTAAACCACATATTCGTGTAACCAAAAAACTAAAGTACACATACAATAAAGGGGTATCCATTTATTCCCATACCAGCCGTTCATTGTTTCCTTGCTTCTTCCTACCCCGAATCATATTCCTGCATGTACTTTTTTGCTTTTGATCTATCAACCGAACAAAGGTACGGTACCCCACAACATGCAAAAGGTCAGACAAAGGCAACGAAGCCCCATGCTCACTCATCAAGGACTCATAGGCTTCGCCCATTCCACAACCTCAAGCGCACACATGACCAACATGAGCGTCGAAGGCAAAATCCTGTATACTAGTTAGTTCGACATCTACACAAGGAGAGAGACGGGGATCACATACCAAATAACATAGCTCTGAAACAAAATCTTGCTCATAACCGCCTCATAAACCCCATTAATCTGGCAAATCTGCGCCAACTGCAGCGCGCTCGGCGCGCCCGTAAGCAAGAAGCAGACAATAATAAAGATCGGATCATCCACAATGCTAATCGGCAGATACTTGGCCATCATCGCCAAGAACGGCGCCATGATCAAGGTCGGGAGGAGCATGCGGCTGATCAGCGAAGCAACCAAGAGCTTCGTCCCAATCTGGTTCTCCTCGCTGTCCGCCTCCAGTGCGGTCTGCGGGAGGGTGTTGCGGGCGAGGTTGGCGCCGAGGACGACGAGGATGAGGGGGACGGCAACGCCGCCGGACTGCGTGATGGCGCGGGTGACGGAGTTGGCGACGAAGGAGCCTTCTTGGAAAAAGAGGCGCTGGAGGGAGGGGATGGTGGCAACGATGCCGGCGAGGAGCATGGCCCAGAGAGGGGGGTTCATGAATTCCCATAGGCCGTTGCCGAAGCGCGCGGCGCCTCTGTAGAACTTGGCGAGAACCCTCTGCACGGGGAAGGGGAGGGTGTTGAATATACTCCTGATGACGGCGTTGATCTTTGATGAGACGAAGTTTGCGGCGCGTTTCGATTGGAGTTCGGCGATCTTGACCCATCCTCGGATGCCATCGGGGATGTGCTGCTCTCTGATCTGTTGTGGTCTGATGGTTGGGAAAGAAGTGAGGCTGTTGCTTAGATGTTCAGCGTGTAGAATACTGTCTACCTCTGGTGCCGTCGGGGTAGAGTTTAAGCGCTTCCTCCCATCATCATCATACTCGTCATCGGGCAGCACATAATGCGTGTTGGTGACAGGCGTTATACCGCCCGATTCGAACAATGTCGACGAGTGGCTCTGGCTCCCATCATCATCTCTGTATCTCCCCTCCTCCACAGCCGCCGCATCTTCAATCTCCAGCCGATCCGGTGGGGCCAACAGAACATGGTATCCCCAACTCCATCGCACCAGCTGTCCGAGTTGCTGGAAGATGAGCAAGTAAAGAATGCCGCGCGCCGAGACCTCGTCGTCATTGTCCCCCGGTATCCTGTCCCAGTGTAGCCCATTCAAGGTCTGTGACAGAGAGATAACGAGGGATATCGGCAGGGAGTTTGAGTTCCCAAAAACTCCCATTGCCGTGACGAAATTCGCAGGACGCTTGACTAATCCGAAGGCTTTGGACACGCCAATGGAGACCAGGTATGATACGAGAGTTTGTAGGGCAAAGATCACTGGGATCACAGCGAGGTCGGCAAGAGTGTCGGCCGTCAGCTGAGAGGCAAGTTTCGTGAAGACTGCAGATTTCGTCAGTAATGGATACAGAAAGCGTCGTCGAATCGGGTTGGCAACTCACTCAGACAAGGCGTGAACAGCATAACATTCAAGTGAGCCACAAACTTTTGCTGCTCCGCACTAAACATGCCCTGTCTCGCGATGATATACCCCGGCACGCTGACGCAGACGACCTCCATGACGGCCTCGAACACGAGGAGTATGAGGCGTCCGAGATCCGGATGCGCCTCATGGCTCATCACGACGGGCTGCTGGAAACCATCGAAAGGGCGGGCCGTGAAGGACCTGCTGACGATGGAGGCGACGCCATTACTGCCATTTGCGAGTCTGAATGACGTGGGTGTGGTGAAGAAGGCCATTAAGGGTCGCCGGCCAGAGCGATTCGGGAAATTGTGAGCTTTCAGTATGGTATTATAGTTGGAGAGGGCGTGCTCGTTGTGCTCGTTGTGCTCGTTGTGCTCGTTGTGATCGTTGTGATCGTTGTGCTCGTTGCGATAAGGATGGTTTTGTCGTTCTTAGGTTTTGGTGGTGCGGGCGGGTAGACTAGGTAGGATGGTGAGAGGATTTGTGAATGTGTTGTTGGGTTGGGCGACGCACCTCAGCTCGCCATGCGGGGCGAGGGTTGTGTGAGGTTTTAGCTGGTGTCGCACGGCGCACGACGTAAGTTACAGTGACGCGGTCTAGGAGGCGTCGGCTGCGGGTCTGCCACCCGCCTGGCTGGTCTCTTGTGGTGCCAAGGTATTTTGAGGCACCGCCCTGATGCGACGATTCGATATGAGAGGTTATCTCCAAATGTGTGTGTTCCCTTTCTGCTTTCTGCTTTCTCCTTTCTTTTTTCTCCTTTCTCCTTTCAACTTCTGCATCAGCGTAGCCAGTAAGTCCTGTGCATCGTTGAGCTACAACACACCAAGCTCATCTTCCTCGGCGGGTATACTGTGCAACTTCCGTACTGGAACTCGGTACTGAAACTTCCGTACTAGAACTTCCATACTAGAACTTCCATACTAGAACTTCCGTACTATGTACTGTAAGATTACGTGTGCTACACCATTAGTGTAGGATCCCAGTACTATAACTAACTTATCATATGTCTACTCTGTTCTGCTATAATACTCTATATGCACTCTAAGGCTGACTTCATACATGATCTACTCATACATACATTCTCCACACATTAAAACCGCCGAAGCTTCTGAATCTGAATCGTAGCGATCCGCGCAGTTTCAAAATGAGCAGAAGCGATGTGCGCGGTTTCGCGACGTGCGTCCGTTCACCGCTACTCCTCAACAAAACACCGAATCAACACTACGGATGAGCCTCAAACGGCGTGCTCGGAACCTACCACCTAAGGGTGGTAGGAATAAGGTGCTCTCTACTGCACAGTCAGAAGCCCTTAAGAAATGGATCCTTAAGCAGTATTACCTAGGGCTTGGAGCTACTAGAAGTATGATATTTTCTGCAGTCTGCCAGCTCCGGAGCCTACATCTGCAGCCTCCGCCATCAGAGAGCTAGCTTACTAAATATATTAAGAATGAGCTTTAAGAATTCCACTTTATCACTACAAAGCCTATTGCACTACAGCGTACGAAAGCTTAAGATAAGTCTACTATTATACGGTGGTTTCGAGAGTACCATGAGTTTATACTAGAGCGTGGTATAAAGCCAGAGTCAATTTGGAATATGGATGAAACAGGCTTTAGGATTGGAATTCCAGGAGGTGAGAAGGTTATGATACCACGAATAGCAAAGGAGCTCTATACGCCTAGCCCTGAAAATCGTACGTCTATTCTGTAGTAGGAAAAATCATACCACCTATACTTGTCATTCCGGGCAAAATACATATGGATTCTTGGCACCATATGAACCTCAAAGGCACGGAGCTAGTACTACACTCAGACTCTGGATTTTCAAATAGCTAGCTTGCTCTTCAGTGGCTAGAGCATTTTGCAAAGCATACAGCTTCGGAGGATACGAAGGTTCTACTACTCGACTCTCATGTGAGCTATACAAGCCATGACTTCGTCATTGGAGCAGAAGAACATAACATCATTATATACACCTTTCCCTCACATCTCACACACGTTTTACAGCCATTAGACGTGGGAGTGTTCCAGCCTTATAAGCACTAGCATAGAGTAGCTGTGCTCGTAGCTATACGAGACATGGACATTACCTACGACCTACAATCCTTCATGAGAGATCTCACCCAAATCCGGAAGCAGACTTTTAAGGAGTCTACAATAGTCTCAGCTTTCCGGAAAGCTGGAGTCTAGCCAATAAGCTGTAATACAGCTATTATGAAGCTATGCACCTACTCATAGCCTACGCCTATGCCTACTACGCCTACCCTACTAATACGGGTTTCTACACCTAAACCCTCTACTTTTCGGGCTGTAGAAGAGGGGCAATAGTACTAGAAACACCAGGTTCCGGGGGGCTTTAGTAGCCCCTCAAAAGAGAGCTACTGCAATTGGCTTACCGGAACCGAAGAGGTTGTAGTAGGCGGCCAGCTCCAAGAACACGACCTACGGGCTATTTGGCGCCAGGTTGAGGAGTCGAAGAAGCGGGCAAGCCGAAGCCGGGCCCAGCTTCAGTTCTGAGGTGAGCTCCAAGCTGCTCACGCTCACGAGCTTCGGGCCTAGAAAGCCGAGCTTCAAGCCTAGAAGCTTGCAGCCAAAGAAGCCCGGGTAGCCCGCTAGGCTAGAAACGAGGCTAATAACCAGCTCAAAAGAGCTGAGGTTGAGGCCCGGAGGGCAGAGCGCCTCCGGAAAAAGAGGGTAAAAGCTCTTCTTCGAGCTGGCAACCCAATTCCTCTAGAGGATCGGGACCCAATTCGGGACCTAGAAGCTGCTGAGAGTGGGTGCGGGAGCGAGAGCGGGAGTGAGCGTGGGCGTGGGCGTGAGTGTGGGAGTGAGCGTGGGAGTGATGAAGTGATAATTTCTTACAATGATTGATTCATGTACCTTTATATACAAATTACTATGTAGTGGTACCTATAGCCTACATATTGCGAAACCGCGCACATCGCTTCCGCTCATTTTGAAACCGCCCGGATCGCTTCTGAGCGAAGCGAAAATTTGGTCATGACGATTACCCCGCGACACCCTCAAACCCTCAACTCAGGAATCACGACAGGATCTGGCTGTGTCCTCTTCTCCGGTACGTCGCAGTTTTCGCAGAAAAAATATGAAGTGCATGTAACTAATGCAGCTATCCCTTTCACAGACTGATTTCTCCCTCCAACGCGCGCCATCAGACGATTCCTCGTGTCGACGCTCACCACCCATGAGGACGGTATAACCGCCTAAACACAGCATGGCTCCTCCCACCGACCCGTCCGCACCGGCAGACACCTCTGGCGCCTCGCCCTTGCCCGCCGACTCCTCGAATCCCGTCTCCGCGGCCCCAATCAGCGAGAGACTGTCCTCTGTGCGCTCTATTTCCGATCCTCCGCGCCATCAATCGACTATGTCGTCCTCGTCAAACCTAATCGGCGTGTTGAACAATGCCAGGAGACCTGCGGTGCGCTCGTCGATACCGGCGAGCTCGGTGGCTTCGGGCGGCTTGCCGCAGGATATGCAGGCGAAGATGAGGGCTTTCCATTTGTCGCGCCAGGGTACGCCGCCTGGTGGACGACCGTCGGCTTCACCGGCCGACGAGAATGGCGGTAACATGGCAGGAGGTCTGCGGTTACCAATGGGTAATAGGCCACAACTACCGCAGGGGCTTGTCTCGGCGCCTGCTGTTCCACGACAGGGCGGCAAACCGTCGCTGAGCGAGCGCAGAAACATGCCGAAGTTAGGTGGATTACCAGGAAGTCCTGCGGCTCCCGCAGCGAGCCCTTCTTTGAGCCTGAACGGCAGCGCAAACCCGGCGGCGAATAACACTGATAGGGGGTCGATGTTCAACAAGTTCTCCAACTATGTGGATACGGAGAAGGGAACGCTTCGCTTTGCGGGGAAGGCTGTTATCCATGGTCAGGGCATTGATTTCTCGAGCGGTAATAATTTCAGTATATCCCTGGATGAGGTAGATACGCTCGAGGAGCTGGGAAAGGGCAACTACGGCACAGTCTACAAGGTGCGCCACGCGCGGCCACGGCAGCAAAGGCTTGGACTGGGTCTTCAGGTTCGCTCCTTGGCACCCAATGCCTCGATAGGGGACAATGGCGATTCCAGCGACACGCCTCTGGCCAAGAATTCCACGGGTGTCATCATGGCAATGAAAGAAATCCGTCTCGAGCTCGACGAAGCCAAATTCGCCGCCATCATCATGGAACTCGACATCCTCCACCGCTGCGTCTCTCCCTACATCATCGATTTCTACGGCGCCTTCTTCCAAGAGGGCGCGGTGTACATCTGCATCGAGTTCATGGACGGCGGGTCCATCGACAAAATTTACGGCGACGGAGTCCCGGAGAACGTGTTACGGAAAATCACCCACGCCACCACCAAGGGGCTGAAGGAGCTGAAGGACGTCCACAACATCATCCATCGTGACGTCAAGCCGACGAATATTCTCGTCAACACGCGTGGCCAGGTGAAGATCTGCGATTTCGGCGTCTCGGGGAACCTGGTCGCTAGTATCGCCAAGACGAATATCGGATGCCAGTCGTACATGGCGCCGGAAAGGATATCGGGGGGTGAAGTCACGCAGGCGGGCGCGAATCCGAGTAGTGGGACGTATTCGGTGCAGTCGGATGTTTGGTCGCTGGGCTTGACTATCATTGAGTGCGCTATGGGACGGTACCCGTACCCGCCTGAGACGTATAACAACATCTTTAGCCAGTTATCCGTAAGTCTACTCGCAACCCATCAACCCCTCCCTACTGTTCTTGGACTCGGAATCTAACATTACCTCGCAGGCAATCGTCGACGGCGACCCCCCCGACCTCCCCGCAGAAGGCTACTCCGACATAACGCGCGACTTCGTGCACGGCTGCCTCCACAAAATCCCCAAGCTGCGCCCTACATACTCCATGCTCCTCCAACACCCCTGGCTCGCCGGCCTCTCCAAACCGGACGTCATTAGCGAGGAAGACGGCGTCACCAACGGTCCCGCCGCTTCTACAAACGGCACCACCAGCAAATCCTCCTCCTCCGGCGACTCCGCAGACCCAGCCTACGATGATGAGGTCGCGCAGTGGGTGAGATCGGCGCTTGAGAGAAAAGCGTCGGGGCTGATGGGGTCGAGTGCTAAACCAGCCTTACATGCCGCACCGCTGGACAGTGTGAGCCCGCCTTCTGTGTAGATACGCTGATGCTGGGGCTGGGCCCAAAGATTATACTGTTTTAGCTCATTGTTTACATTTGTCCTCCCCTCCCTTCCCTTTCCGTTTCTTGGCTACAAAGAAAACTGGAATTCGGAAGAAGAGGTTTTGGAGACGGAAAACCGCCCCCGAAACCTACCCCACTGACACTGCAAGCTGGCAAGCTAGAAAACACAGTCTTTGAGCAGCACCATGGTCCGGTGTCCTGCACCCACTACACCCCGGAAATCCTCCACCAGGCCAAGACATAAACAACAGCGTCGCTCAAGCCTCTGGCTCTGGTTGTCATAGCCGCATTGTCAGGTATAGATAGGAACAGACACGATCCGCTGGATGATGGGAGGGTGATGATATCTCCTTATTTCGCGGCCGGATTGCCGGGTGCATGCTTGTCCCATTCACGCGGCTGCCCGCTGGGGTTCTTTGTTCGTGGATATGCACAGCTAGGGTGGGAGTGGGTGTTCAACTGCTGATGGGAAGAAGGAGGGGAGGATGAACTATCACCTGGGTGTGAGGGACGTCATGGAAGGGGGTTATTGTTTCCCTGCGGATGTAGAATTTTTTGTGTATAATGTGGAGGGTGAGGAAATAGGCAGATGAGGAAATATGTGGTTGGATTTATGGTGTGTGCCTTTGTGCATTGCTGATGTGATTTTCTTGTGGTGAGTTGTGAGGTATGTGTAAGTGGTGATGGGTGATGGGTGATGAAGGGAGTTTTGGTAGGTTTTTTGGTATTTTCCTGTTATCTTGCTATCCCCCCCCCCCTTCCCCCTTTACCGCCTCTCAAACAAAGACAACAAGGCACACACCATAAATCCAAGCACATATTTCCTCATCTGCCTATTTCCTCACCCTCCACATTATACACAAAAAACTCTACATCCTCTCCATCCCCAGCTAAACCAGCCAACTCCCCCATCCTACAAATTGGAGCCACCCATCCCCTCAAGAGTAAGAATGGGGCCATAGCAACCAACCATCAAAAGAAGGTTACAGGGGTAAGCTTATCTTCCTTTCTCTAGTTTGCCTTTCAGCCCCCCCCTTCCCCCTTTATCGCCTCTCAAACAAAGAGAACAATAAGCATACACACAACGCTTAGCGAAAAAGCGGGGCTGTTCTGTTTATGAGAAGGGGCGCGTATATGTTATATTGATTTTGGGGACATAGGTACGCGTGACAAAGGGGGGTCAGCTTCTTTTGCTAGGTATGACAAGTTCGATTGTGTGAGGGGCTTTGTTGACGTTATCTAAGTCTACATTTTCCTTCCTTCCCATAACTTGCACATTTTGTCAGGAACCGGAAAGCTTCTTCAATTTTGTGGTTACAACTTCCGATAACTCGCTACAACACCTTCCCAATCTGGAGCAGGAGAATATAAAAAGGCCAAACCGGCGGAGGAAACAAAGTATAACCCTAACCATGCCGTGTAAGCGTGGAGAGATCTATCTCACACAAGACCAAGATGATAGGAGCGATGTGTATTACAGGCGGGACTGTACAGGCCGAGTTATAGGCCACGGGCATATCGGGGGAGCATATTACAATTGGGTGCCTAAGCCGTCACAACAGCGCGTCATTCCCGGCGGCAACTGTCTCCCCGGCAGCAACCATCTCCCCGGCTTGGGGTTAGGCGGTAGCGGCAACGGCAGCGGCAGCGGCAGCGGCAGTGACGGAGAAACACAGTCGACTCTCGGCGGCCAGGAAAAGGGTTTCGTAGGTGGTGCCCCCGCTCAGGACAGCGACTTCGGCCAGTGGTGGGCGCAGGCTCTCCTCCAGGAGAGTCGTGTAGGCGATATTCCCGCTCAGGACGGCGGCGGCGGCGGCGGCAGAGAAAAGGCTCGCATGAGTGATATCCCCGCTCAGAACGGCGGCGGCAGCGGCAGGGGGGGAATGCAGTCTCTCGTTGACGAAAAGGGTTGCATAATTCTGGACGATAGCGAGGAGGAGGAGGAAGTACAATTTCTCGGTGAGGGTAAGCATCTCCTTATCTCCCCCCTCTCGGCGTAACTTGCACGACTTGATCGTATAAAAATTCACTCCCTTCTACTATTATCTTGCGGCCCACTTCCTGTCACCACTACCCTCTTTCTCATTCTCGCTCTTGACTAACGAATTTCAAGCTTCACGATTTCAGTTTCAACCTCGCACTCCAAAACCAATTACCACCTTTTCTCAAGCTGAATTACAAACACCTACACCACATTCTTCTTCACAGAAGAGGAAGTTGGATTCTATTGACACCCCACCACGACTCGCACCCCAGCAGAGACAGGCGAGGAGTGCACAGTCGCTGAGCCGATCTGAGTGGACTTTTGGAGAGCGCAGACCAACTGCTGTATCTGAAGGCGCAGCTGTAGAAGCTCTTTCACCGTTTTCAACGCCAACGAATAGAAGGGACAGTATGTCGGGGAGTATTAATCGGAAGGAGGGGTATGAGATTGTTCCTATGCCAGCGGGCGCTCGAGAGATGAGTTTCGGAAATGGAAGTGAGGTTGTCACCAGTTCCAACAAGAGGCAAGGTTCTATTCTTAGGAACATGGATGGTGGCAAGTTCAACATTGGAAATGATATTCTTGCTGCTTTCAAGGAGGGACTTACCCCTACTCCCAAGATTAAGGATGGGGAAAAGTTGAGTGGTGGAGGTGAAATTGTTGGTGCTGCAAAGGAGCAGATTCCTTCCACCGCCACCCCCAAGAGCAAGAATATTGGCAAGCTCAGCCAAGGAAGTGAAGTTATTACTGCTAGCAAAGATCAGCCTACGCCCACTCCAAAGGCCAAGAATCGCGGCGTGAGTCAAGACTGGGAGATCATCGAAGTTGGCCCATCCACAGATCTGACTTTACCCCATCGCTCTTCCACCCAGCGAAAGCCCGTGATCGATCTGGAAGACTACGAAGTCCTGCCTCCTCTTACAGGCACTATATCTAACATGACTATTCTACATACCACCATCATCGATTCCTCCGATTCAGAGGGTGACTTCGACTTCGAGATCATCGGCTCGCACACCCTCACCTCCCCCACCCTCCCCCGCCGCCGCTCAACCATCTACCCCCTCCGCAACCCCCCCATCGTGCACCCTCTCTACACCCTCTGGGCAACCATGGTTTCAAACTTTCCTCTCGAGCGTGACATCGTCGTCGAGCTCGCCGACGGGGATTTTCTCAAGATCACCAATTTGGTCCGAAACGACGATACAGACGCCTTGACACTCCGCGGCCACCGCTTCCAGCGAACCAGGGATTTGAATGGGTTGCTTGCTAAGAAACGCAATGAGCTCTGCTGGGTCACTGAGGTGGATGAAGATGATGAGCGTCCGGCTTCTGTGCAGAGTTTGGCTGAAGTTCCAGCTTCCAGCGTCACGAGGGTGCGTAAGACGTTGATTACGAATATGGCGTTCCCCGCTGCGACGTTCAGGAATACCCCTTTCCCAGGTGGTATGGAGAATGTTGAGCAGGAGGGCATTGTGGCGGTGAGATGGAAATATACGACGACGTGGCCGAGTGCGAAGGCGAGAGTGAATAATGAGAATGCCTTCTGCGAGCGCGTGTTGAGACATCTCGGGGAGGGGGATGCATTGGTTGATAAGGGATTGAGGATCCGTGATGGATTGGCTAGGTACCAGTTCCGTGGACCGACTGTGCTGGGCGGATCCTTTATTCCGGCTGTGCGAAAGGGTGGGAATGATACCAAGTCGCCTGTTCGTGGTGGTGAGACGGGGTGGCTTAGACGTCTTCCTGGGTCGCGCAACAATAGTGTCCAGGAGCTTGCTGGGCAGACGGCCGGATTGTTTGACGATGACATGGTTGATCTCACGGATGAGTTTCCGAAGACGCCAACGAAATCCAGATTGAGCATCGCAGAGGCGACTCAAGAGCGCATGCTCAGCCAGATCGATCTCACGATGCCTGAGCTTTCATTCCCCCCATCCGATGGGACGGTTCGTGCTACCAGTGCTGCCAGCAAGTTGAAGACCACTATCAAGCGTGTAGAAGGTCAGATGTGCACCTACGGCGACGCCTGTGAGTTTCTTCCCCATCCCTCTCCCCCCAACCAACTCCAAACTAACACCCCCTTTCCCAGTCTGCGGAGCCGGTGGCGCAACCCGCGGCGCCCACATGGCAGGTCTCAAAGTCATCTGGGGCTTCGATTTCAACGCCCACGCGTGCGAGACCTGGCGCCTCAACTTCCCCTCGGCGACTATGTACGAGATGTCCGCCTTCGACGTGTGCCATCTCTGGGCCAAGGAAGCCAAAGCCGGCATGCCAAACTGCGCACAAGTGGACATCCTTCACATCTCCCCGCCCTGCCAGTTTTTCTCGCCGGCGCATACGATTGCGGGGAAGGATGATGAGATGAATACGGCGAGTTTGTTGGCGTGTGGACGACTGCTGGCGTTGGTGAGGCCGAGAGTGGTGACGCTGGAGCAGACGTTTGGGATTGGACATGCGGAGTTTACGAGGTGGTTTAATGCGCTGATTCATCAGTTTACCGATAATGGCTATTCGTTGCGCTGGAAGATTTGTCATCTCCAGAACTGGGTATGTCTTTTCCGTTTCCTCCCTTCCCGATTTAATGATACCACCACCTACCTACTTCCTGCCTCCCCGCGATATGTGTATCCAAGCTAACAAACCCAGGGCCTCCCACAGCGCCGTCAGCGTCTCATCATCATCGCCGCCTGCCCCGGCGAGACGCTCCCCCCTTTCCCACCTTACACCCACTCCAAGAACCCCTCCCCCCCTAATGGTCTCAAACCCTACACCTCGGTCAACACGCTCCTGACCTCCATCCTTCGCAACGCGCCCGACCACGACCTCACCGCTGCGCTCGCCAAGCCTCTCCACGAGAGTCCCTGGGACGGAACCAGCATCGCCCCCCGCGCGATCACCACGCACGGGGGCCAGAACTACCATCCTTCCGGGACCCGCGGGTTTACGAATAGGGAGTTAGCTACGCTGCAGGGGTTTCCGGCGGGACATAGGTTTGGGGAGAAGAACGTGAAGAAACAAATTGGGAATGCTGTACCGCCGAGCATTGCTGCGGTGCTGTTCGGGGCCGTGAGGAAGGCACTGGAGGCGGCGGATGGGGTGGAGAGTGTTGTTGTTGATATCGGGGGTGGGGTGGAGAGGGAGGTTTTTGTTGTTGATTGATTAGGTGGGGAGGGGAGTTTTGATTTGATTGGGGGGGAAGGTTGAGGAGTTGATTATGGGTAGGAGTTAAGGTGTTTTTGCTATTGAGGGGTGGGTAGATTGTGGGGGGAGTTGAGATGGTGAGGGGTGGATAGATTGTGAACCGAGTGGTGAGATGACGGGGAAGACGCAGTTTTGGGGGTTATTATGACGGATGAGGGCTGCGGATTTGCGGATGATGATACTGTTTTTTTTTTTTTTTTCAGATAGTGGCAGGCCTTGGCCTCGCATGAGAGAGATACATTGCCAGGATTAGATTGGGACGTGGAGGGATTTGCAGTTATGGATGGAGGATACACTTTCTGGATGCCGGGCAGGAAATGCCATTGGCTGTACGGTATGGTACAGATGGCGGCGCGGTATCAGGGTTCTCATCCAGGAACTATAGATAGATAGGCAATCCTCCCTTCGGAATGAGAATGAGATATACTTGGAGTAAAATTCTTGCTGTAAGGATGCCTTTGTGACCGATATGCACCCCCACGTCTAAGAATCCATGTGTGAAGTTTCCGTATAATCCAAGTGCACAAGCCTCAACAAGAATCCATGTTTGTAACCCTTCTACAGTGAATACTTCCTTTGTATTGCATTCACCTTGTCCTTCTGGGTTTCGTGCTCTTGTCAAGAAAATGGAGACGACGACGTCAATTCTATTCGAAAATGCCCTCTATGCGGCCTCAGAGCCGTACACACATCCAGGCTACCAGCTGAGTAACCCCATAGGTGGGGGCCCTGAACTGCGTTGGTTCCGCGATATTATAGAATAAGCGCGCTTATATTATCAAACTGCCTCGATGCCCGAGTAGTTAACTACGTCATTGTCAAGCGCGCGCTAATCATATAACAGGCGTTCGGTTGTGTTCTTCGGGGTCACGTGTTCGACCCCACGTTGTATGACTATTTTCTGTTTTCTTTGTGTTATCATCTGCGCTCTGCCACGCCCTGCCACGTAGGGCGTGTTACTATATGAATGATAAATTATCCTGTATTTCTTTAAAAGGTACGTAACATTCCGTTCCTTGAAACCACTCGGGCATCAAACGACTTTTTTTTAGATTCAATCCCTATTTGTTTTTTGGGGTTGTTTTAATATCTGTAAACTATGAACGGGATGATAACTCTATTTGATGGCAACACAAGGAAGTGAGTGGTTTGCTTTATATTCTGAAGAGGGATTCTAGTCGATACTGCAGCTTGGTAATATGGACTATTATACAGCTCTAATTTACACCTGTCACTCAATCCCCCTGGTGAATGCCTTGAGTTGTTCAGCCTCGTCTGGCCCTCCCAACGGTTAACTCCAACGAACAACCCTCTCATCTGAATTGATCTTTATCAACCCCCCCCCCCTTCTACTGCCTTGCCCCGATTGCAACACCTCTGTTGCTGCATCGTGTTTTGGAGCTTCCAATCCGTGTCGGGCTTCTCCAAGGATCGCCTTCGATCTACCTGCTAACAAATTGGCATTACATCCAACTGTTGAGACTCTTCCAACCCCCTTCCCCAGCCCTAACTCTCTTGGAGCGAGTAACACTTTTATGTGTCGTCGTCTGGTACTGCTCTCCAGGGCTCAAATTTCAAATCCAAGCATCCCTCTAAATCATGTTGCAAGACCGTGACGGCGTTAACCCCTCCCTCGCAGCCCTTCTCGGTGCTCTCATCGCCAAACCCGTAGAAACCGGTACCAACTGCCGCCGTCTGTTACGACGCACGACACAGCTTTGCTTGCTCTCCCTTCCACTAGGGAGATAATCCCCTTTCAGATCGCAATACCCGCGGGGCAGAATAACATCCATCTCCACACTCTCGGCACATAATTCCTCCGAACCCGACAGTACGTCACTGCCCCAAGTGTGGTGGGGGTCGTTGATGAATAATCGCAGCGCATGAGGGAGGTGGAGCATATTTGAACCGGTTTCGTTGATAAAAGAAGTTGAAGGAGTAAATTGTATCTTATCATCCTTATTCAATTTGAATTTCCATTATCTGCCAAGAAGAGGGTTCTGCAAGTCCTATATGCCGTCTTTCCCGTCGTCCCCTCACTATCCCTCGAACCGCCAGCACCATCGAGAATCTGTTTCACCTCCGTTTCAGCTGAACTCGCAAAACAACCACAAAAACACACTCCGTCCAAGACCACACCCTCCGTCCGTCCAAGACCACACCCTCCCGCGCCTCACTAAACATCACAATGACCACCCCCCGCGTCTTCGTCGTCCGCCATGGCGAGACGGAATGGTCCCTGAACGGGCGCCACACCGGCACCACCGAGCTCCCCTTGACCGCCAACGGCGAAAAGCGCGTCAAAGCTACAGGGCACGCCCTAATAGGCAACGACAGGCTGATCGTGCCTGGCTCGCTGCTTCACGTGTAGAACATCCCCCCCCCACCGTGGTCCTGCAAACGAAACTAACAATCGCGCCCTAGCTACGTATCGCCCCGCCATCGCGCACAGCGCACGCTCGAGCTCCTGGATATAGGATGGGCGGAGAAGCTACCCTGGGCCGAGAAACCAGACCCCGATGGACGGGTCCGCTGTGATGCGTTAGTCGAGATCACAGAGGATATCCGGGAATGGGATTATGGAGATTACGAGGGCGTGACGAGCGCGGAGATCATGAAGCAGCGCGAGGAAGCTGGGCTGCCGAAGTGGGATATTTGGAGGGATGGGTGTCCTGGTGGAGAGTAAGTTTACAGAACTGCTGACCTGGAGGGCGGGAGTGGATAAGATGGATGAGGTGGATGAGATGCTAATGATGGGGTAGGTCGCCGGCGGATATCACGAATAGGTTGAATAGGCTTATCAAGGATGTACGGACGAGATGGCACGCTGATGTTATTGGGAAGACGGAGAATGTGCCCAAGGATGTGTTGATCGTGGCGCATGGACATATTTTGCGCGCGTTTGCGATGTTGTGGGTGGGTAAGGCGATTGAGGATGGGCCGAGTCTGTTGCTGGAGGCTGGTGGTGTTGGGACGCTGAGGTGAGTCTTTTATGAAGATTGTTGGGTTGTTGAGAGTGGTACTGACTGGGAATAGTTATGAACATCACTCGCTTGACGAGCCGGCTATTCTGCTTGGAGGGAGTTTCATGGTCGATGTTGTTGAGAGTGCGCAGGTAGCTGGTGGACAGAAACAGTAGGTGGGATAGGGCCCTGATATATCGATATATTTCGCAATCTACGAGACAGACGTAGAATTCTACCAATGCGAATTCTGGCGATATAAAACCTCAATATGCCGAACTACCATTCCATTCTCACTCGCCAGCAGACCATTCATTGAATCCACTTTTGCAACCCCAAGCCCACCCACCCCCGCTCACGCCTTCGTCCCCCTCGCAATAAACACCTCCCTCTTCATCCTCTTCTCCTCAGGCCCAATCACAAGCCCCTTCCCCAACACCTTATACCCGAAATCCAACCCCAACCCCGCCTGCTCAAACAGTTTCCGCACATCCTCCTCCGAGAATCCCATATATTTCACCGTCTCCACGACTTTGGTCTCTTCCCCTTTCCCTCCCGCTTCCTCCTTCTTCTCCCCGTGACCGTGACCGTGACCGTGTCCATGACCATGTCCATGACCATGACCGTGTCCGTGACCATGCCCAAGCATCTCCCCATGCGGCAAGAAATCCAATATCACCAACGACCCCCCCCCCTTCAACCTCTCCCCCAACCTCCTCGCCGCCAACCCCGCATCCCCAAAATGATGAAACCCCAGCCCCACAACCGCAACATCAAACCCCCAAAACTCCTCCCCCTCAAACTCCCTCGGCCTGTCCACCTCGGGATCGATCAAATCCCCCACCCAAGCGTGGACCTCCTCCTCCTCTAACCCTTGGTTGGAAGCTGTGGTGTTGTAGGCGGCGACCATGCCGGCGGACACATCGATGCCGATTACGCGGGAACAGTGTTCGGAGAGGGCTTTGGTGATGGTGCCGGTGCCGCAGGCGTAGTCGAGGAGGGTGAAGGGGGTGGTGGTTGGGTCGGAGGGGAAGGGGGCGAGGAAGGGGAGGGAGGATTGGAGGGAGGCGGTTAGGTCGGCGAGGGTTTTGGCGTGTTTGGTGTCGTAGGTTGCGGCTTCTGTGCTGGCGAGTGTTAGGTTTTGGAGATAGGGAGTTGGGGAAAGGGGTGGAAATGGCAATCGGGAGTGGGAGAGGGGTGGAAATGGCAAAGGGGTGGAAATGGCAAAGGGGTGGAAATGGCAAAGGGGTGGAAATGGCAAAGGGGTGGAAATGGCAAAGGGGTGGAAATGGCAAAGGGGTGGAAATGGCAAAGGGGTGGAAATGGCAAAGGGGTGGAAATGGCAAAGGGGTGGAAATGGCAAAGGGGTGGAAATGGCAATGGGGTGGAAATGGCAATGGGGAGGAAATGGCAATGGGGAGTGGGAGAGGGGATGAGATGTGTTTGGATGAAAGGGAACGAGGCTGGCTCACTCGAAGAAAGCTTTGTTTTTCCCTGCAAAGTCGGCCATGTTTGATTATCCGTAAAGTAAACGAGCTATTTTCTCAGGGTCTTGTAATATGGTATCGTAGGTTATCAGAAACTCGTCGTCTACCTCCCAAGGTAGACGACGGCCTCTTCCCAACCCCGCACCAGGCACCCGGGCGCCGGAACATCATTATTGCCAATACCCCGCGCCAGGACACCGAGGGTCGAGTTGTTGCGCATCCAGGGCCACATGTATGAAGTGAAGCACTGGTGATCTGAGATGAAGCGTGTCTAGGTGTCTAGACAGAATACCAATCCTCGATCGAGATCCATCTCCCTCACCATCACATCTCCCTCACCATCACATCTCCCTCACCATCACATCTCCCTCACCATCACATCTCCCTCACCCCCCCCTCCCCTTTCCCCTCCATATCACGTGCCACGTGCCAATTCTATCATGGCGGTGCTGACTTACAAGTAGTAGAGTAGTATGTAGAGTGGCGATGGGAAAGTGGGAGTGGAAGAAGTACTGCGGGCCTACTCTGCCGTGCCGTGAAGAAAAAAAAAAAAAAAAAAAAAAAAACTTGACTATGTAATTCAATATACATACAGCATCCTAGACAAGTACCCCCCCTCAGTTCTGCAGGACAGCACGAGACGGGTTCGGGCGATCGGCCGTGTCCTCCCAGCTCGTCGGGCGGCCTGTTTTGCGGCCGGGAGAGTGGTCCCCTGCAGAGCTGTGATGGGGTGGGGGAGGGCATAGGGCCAATGAGGGAGGGCATAGGGCCAATGAGGGATGAGGGGATGAGGGGATGGATGTTTGCGGCGGTGGGTGTGTGCGGGACGGTGACGAGGGAAGCTGACGAGCGGTGCGTTGCGCTTTGCTGGGCTGCGATGCCGTTGGGGATGGGGGAAGGGAGGGAGGGATGGGGGGAGGGAGGGAGGGATGGGGGGAGGGATGGGGGGAGGGGGGGGGAAAAGGGGGGGAGGGAGGGATGGGGGGAGGGATGGGGGAGGGGGGGGAAAAAGGGGGGGAGGGGGGGAAGGGAGGGGGATTGGTTGTGGGGATTGGTTGTGGCTGTTCGCGGATACAATGGCACGTGTACAGTAGGCAGTGCAATGTGGTCCGGTGCGTCTCTCCCTTGCTTTCTCAACTGCAGCGCCGTTCGCGGCTGCCACGCATTACATTCTCTTCTCGTGACATTTTCCTCCAATGCCCATGCCCATGCCCATGCCCATGCCGCCCATGCCCATGCCGTACTATGGGTAGAATCCCACAATCCCAATCCAAGCGACCGACCCACGGCAAAGTGGCATGGAAGAAGAATGAAATGTGTCTGTTTTGGCCGGTTTGTGGTTTGTTGGTGTCTGTTCGTTGGGAAAGAAAGTGACGTGACGTGGCGGGGCGGTGGGCGGTGGGCGGTGGGCGGTGGGCGGTTGTTTCTTGTTCGGCTTCTTCGGGATCCCTGCAGCCCACGCGACGAGGAGAGACGGGGGGTATTCTATGTGTTCTTGTGTTCTTGTGTTCTGTGTTCTGTGTTCTGTGTTCTGTGTTCTGCTCTACCTTTTCTGTTGGCGATGTGGTTCTGCCATCTGCCGTATCCATTCTCTCATCCCTCCCCTCCCTCCTTCCCTTCTCTCATCCCTCCCCTCCCTCCTTCCCTTCTCAACTCCCTCCCCTCCCTCCTTCCCTTCTCAACCCCTGATATCCACACGCTTGACTGGTACAAATAGCGGCTAACAGAAGACGTAACCAATTACATACCGTATGCTCTCAGATCATCCTCTGCGGAGTCCTATGGTCCAGAGCAGAATCTTCTCTTCTTTCCTTTTGCCCCCCACCCAGCAATCCAGGAATGGCCCCCCAAGCTTATCCCCATCCCATCCACCGACGGCGCCTTCCGGCCCGCATCTGCAGGTAGTCACTCGGTCGGCGGTCAGACAGGCATCACACATGGTGAATGTTACAAAAAACCAAAAGACCCGAACCGCGCAGCCACCTGACCCGCCTTGCCCAGCGAAACTCACACAGCACAGCAACATCACAGCACAGCACAGCACAGCACATCACAGCACATCACAGCACATCACAGCACATCACAGCACATCACAGCACATCACAGCACAGCATAGCATAGCGCGTCACAGCAGGCAAACACGCAACTTAGCGGGTGCGGGGACCCAGAGAGGCCAGACGTGGATTTGGAATGGGACACAGCGACCCCGAGACACGCTAGATGCGGGATGGGGATTGGGTTGGGCCTGCCGTGTCCGTCCCGGGGTTTGAGTTGCCGTTTGCTGCGAGTGTTCCGCTGCTTGGCTCGGCTCTCTGGTGCGTGCGACGGGTCTTTTTTGGACTTTCCGCTGTTGCTTGATGCTGTGCTGCCGTCACTTGCTGCACTCCAGTATCTTACTGTCGTAAATCTCTGTCCGTACGTACTGGCACTGAGACTTTGAATCCGAGTGTGTGCGCGGCAGTGGTGAGTGTAGGTGGTAGGTACGGAGATACAACAAAATACCTGCCGTTCACCCCTCAGCCACCCAGGATCTGAACTCTGAACTCGCATACCAACTAACGGACTCGCACGCATCCGGCGCTCTGGAGGAAAAGGTCGGTACTTTGAGTACAAATCGCGACTTGACCAGGACCCCCCAGTCTGTGCAGGGATCCTGCCAAAAGTCCCGTACGACCTCAGCCTGCCTAGCTCCCCCCCTCCCTTCCATCCTCCCCCCTCGCCCCTCCCCCCTCCCTCCCCCCACCCTCGCAACCATGGTCCATCTCCGTCGGTGTGCGGGATTGCCTGCGTCCTGACCTCACCCCATAGGCCGGCACAGCCCGGGATGCACCCACTAGCGCCATCCCACCATGCAGGCTCCGGCGATTATCGGGCCCAGGTTGCGGGCGGGGGGTCGCGACGGGGGACCCATCAAGTCTCCCCTCGTACCCCCCTCGTACATAGTTGGTTGTGGGGCAGAAAACGGCAGGGGTACAGGGTTAGGCATGTTCGTGGCGGCGGCGACGCGGCTTCGTGCAGCGGGTGCGTGAGCGGGTTGGGCCTTGACCACCCTGCGCTGCGCATGCACCTGCACGCTCGGCACGGTGGTGTGCAGCGGTGCGCACACCGTCGGATGCGGGTGCGCGCATGAGGTTCTGGTCACAGGACCGCCGAGAGCGGATAAGCGGCCTTTGGGGCCTCACACCGCTTGCTGGCGTCGGGGTCGCCCATTCGTCGGCGCCGAAAGGGCAGGAGAGGAGGGAGGTATCTTTGTGATGGTAGTGTGTACTCTTAAGTCTTTGGGCTGTGGTTATGGATGGAGGGATTTGGGGGGTTTGGTAATGGATGGATGGGCTGGGGATGGCGGATGGAGGATGGCCGATGAATGGAGATGGCGGTGGTGGACGGGATGGGGGAATTGGCGATGGAGATGGGAGAAAATATGGGGGATTGGTAACTGTACCACGGTATGCCACTGCCACTGCCACTGCCACTTAATCTGGCACTGTCCTCGATCCGGCCACTCTGCGGAGCCCAGATTGCAGTGCAGTACCATCGTCGCGATGATGGTTTGTTTGTGTTGTGTGGTACTCGCACTGCGTCAGTGCGAGTCCAGACTTTCGGCGACGGCCTGGCATGGGGAGTTTCCTTCCCCAAGTCAAGTCCCAACGACATCAAGATACACACATCTACAGTGAAGTCCGGTACGCCCTATCCCTTCCGTCAGCATCCCGTCACCCACAAACAACCTCCCCCCCCCCCCCCCCCCCCATCACCAAGAACTCCTACTATTGCATCATCCCCTATATAACCAACCCCAGCCCTGTCGAGTGACGCTGCCTCCCCCTTCCTGCCGCCCTACCTGGCTCGCGCCCGACTTGGGTCCCAAGCTGAGCTGCCTTGGGCCGCTCCGGTCTGGGCACTGCAAACACCAGCGCTGGGATGCGCTGCATCTCGCCCGAAACCGTCGGCTGCGACACGACACGGCGACAAACCATTGCAGGCGCAGGCCCTTGACGCAGGCGGGCTGCGAGGCATGCAGCACGGTGGGCGCGTCGCCGTTTTGCTGATCGGGGGTTTGTGTTGGTTGCCTTGATGTCCTGATGGCTCCAGGATGGATGTTCCTCGTTGAATCTCAGAGACTATCGTCGGGCGGCGATGAGACGGGCCTCGTTGGTTCCTGTGTTGGATGTTGGCCATCCCCCCTTCCTCCTCCCTCCCTCCCTCCCGCTCGCGTACATCCTCACATCCCCAACCCTCCCTCCACCAACTAGCCACGTCGCACACTCGCCCGCCCAGCCTCAATCGACAACACTCCTGTCTCGCGCTGCTCCGCCCTACCCTGCGCCCCACGCAACGGTGCGGGTACTCCCTCCCTCCCTCCCTTCGCCGCCTGAAACTCCATCTCGCGCGCTGCGGTCAGGCATTGTGCCCCATCTCCTTGCCGATGTCTGCATTGTGAGAGGGACGGACGGACGGACGGACGGGCATCGGTGGGGTTGGGGTGGGGGTGAGTTGTCGTAGATCAAACCGTGTTCCTCCTGTGCGCTGGCTGATGGTAGGGGGTGGGCGGAGATTGGGATTGGGGGGCTCCGAGACATTTTCAAAAACCTCGGTGAAGGACCGAGGTGACGATTGTAATTCCTCTCCGTGCTTATCACCTGCCCCCCTCCCTTCCTCGCGCCCGCCCCCTTTATTTTGCTTTTTTGTTTAGGCGGTGCCCGAGACACCGCCTGGGGAGCGAGGGAATTGGGGTTGGGGGTGGGACCTATTTCGAGGACGGGGAGAAGAGTAGAGACAACTGCACACAACTGCACAGACTGTACTCTGAGATACATCCTAAACTAACCGCCCAAAAATATAAACCTGCAAATACGTGAATGACCATCATCATCACCAACACACACAGAAATAGTTACTGCCAATTTGGGCCCCCGTTGGCAGCGACCCAATCTGCAAACCATGACGGCCGCAGGCCGCAGATATGGCCGCCACGCCACGGCAGCCACACACACCACACCGCGCGCGAGTGTGTCCGCGTCCGCCCCCGCATCGATTTCTCGTCAGGGGACCAGAGGTGCACGCAGGTCTTGCAGCCATCACACATCACCCCCTGCTCCATCCTAGACGACAATAATTTACCCATCGTAGGGCGAGATATGCTTCTCGCTCGTTGTGGAAGCAGGTATGCGTAGGGCGCGTAGGTATGTTGGGACGGGGGAATGGCCACATCCAACAGAGAGTGATGATGATGATGTGACCATTCAGCGGAAATCGACACCACGAGTCCCGTTCCCGTTCCTCCCTCCCCATGATTGCGAAAAACAAATCTCGAATCGCCACCACCATGGCAGGATAGGTAGGGGTTGTATGGAGTTGTTCCTCGACCGCCAAGACTGCGGCATTCCCGCCCTCCCGCTGTTGGTGATCCCCCGGGGCGGGCAAGTTTTTTTGGTCGAACTAGGGGCTAATGCAGTGCTTACACCACTCTCGCCCATATGATACGGTCGTAGGGGGGTACTGCTGCTGGTACTGATGCACGATACTGCGCTCTGGTGTTTAGTAGGGATGGGTATATGCAGTGCTGACCACCTCGGCCGAAGTGTAACGGAACTGTCTGTATGTTACTGTGTAGGTGTGGAGACGGTGTACAGGAGTCGTGAACACACCGGTGGGGCGAGCGAGGGATGCGATCCCCAGGGGAGGCCAGCGTACCTGCGGCTACGGCGGGGGGTTTGGTATAGCTGTGGGCGCCGCTGTTAGCGACGGATACGCGGTGTTGGTGATGCGGTTGGCGAGGCGTTCCAGATGGGCTGGGGGATCAGACCTTTTCCTGATGGGCGGCTGGCGGTCGTGTGTGCATGTACTGCTTGGTGGCTAGTTTAGGCCGGAAGGGGGGGAAGGGGGTAGCCGCTGATGCCGCGTTGGGCGCGTGGTGAGATGTTCGCATGTAGGTTATCGTGGTGTATGAGTGCGTTCCTTGCTGCCGTAATACTTGGGATGGGAAGGGAAATAAAATGAGGTGCGAGGATTCTCTACTACGGAGGCAGGTGGATATCGCCCATCGTCCCAACCCATAACACGCGGTCGGGAGTTGTACGAGCCGGTGGATTTGGAAAGGGGAGGTAGGGGAGGGCGCTAGGGGATCCAAGACCGCATGCGAGCGACCCTTTCTGCAGATATTGATAGATTGCTCCATTGCCCAGACAAACAAAGTGACAGACAGACAGACAGACAGATTGACAGACGCAGGTTTTTTGACGGGACGGCAGGGAGGGAGGGAAGGCAAGGGACGGAAGGGAAGGGACGGAAAGGGATACGATGCGATGCAGACGGACGTTCCGACATCTTTTGTTGGGTTGTATGTGGGGAGCGCGAATGGAGTTTGGGCTTAGCCGCCGTAATCGCGGGTTCCAACGAGGGAAGCAGGGTGGAAGCCAACATGATTTAATTATGCGCGTCGTGGCATCGTTGGTACTGACTGGCCGAGCGCATGGTTACTAGAATAGGCTGTGTTGTCGCCGTTGTAGGTACGGGTGACGGGTGATGGATGATGTACTCGAGTACGTCAGGTGCCAAAAATGCGCCGGCGCCTGTCGACATTTCTCGGTGCAAGTTGGGGCGGAGAAAGTGGGAAGATAGTAGGGGGTACAGTGGGTGACGAGTGGGTCTGTCTGCGGGGTGGTGGCGAAACGGGTAATTCATGACTCGTTAGGTGTACGAGTACTCCGCCTCGGCACGCACTTACTGTACTGCACATCGTCGTCATCCCTTCTTCAGTATGCCTGCAAGCTCTGCACGCGAACGTCGCCAATGCTTGGCGACGTTGGCGACGTTCGCGTGCAGAGCTTGCAGGGAGGGGGAGGGGAGGGAGGAAAGCGGAGGGAGGAAAGCGGAGGGAGGGGGAGGGGAGGGAGGAAAGCGGAGGGAGGAAAGCGGAGGGAGGGGGAGGGGAGGGAGGAAAGCGGAGGGAGGAAAGCGGAGGGAGGAAAGCGGAGGGAGGAAAGCGGAGGGGAGGGGAGGGAGGAAAGCGGAGGGGAGGGGAGGGAAGGGAGCGGAGGGGAGGGAAGGGAGCGGAGGGGAGGGAAGGGAGCGGAGCGGTAGGTAGAGTAGGTTGGTAGGGTACGGGTACGGCGGTACGGTGCGTGCGTAGAGGATACTTGTCTCTCTGTAGCATCTCTACGATCTGCCGGCAAGGGAGGAAGTTGGTGGCGGATAGACCGACGGCGTGGCAGTGGGTGGGATAGCTGGGTCGCGCTTGTGCACGGCGGACCGGGGGGGTAGTGTACTGTGGTGTACTGTGGTGTACAGCGGTGTGGTGTGGTGTAGTGTAGTAGTGTAGTGTAGTGTAGTGTAGTGTAGTGTAGTGTAGTGTAGTGTAGTGTAGTGTAGTGTAGTGTAGTGTAGTGTAGTGTAGTGTAGTGTAGTGTAGTGTAGTGTAGTGTAGTGTAGTGTAGTGTAGTGTAGTGTAGTGTAGTGGACTGTACTGTACTGGACTGTACTGGACTGTAGTGTACTGGACTGTACTGTAATGGACTGGACACTACAGTAACTGTTGCCAGAGACGGTACGAGGCGGTGGTGGATAACCCCTGTTAACTGTTGGGAAGATGGAGATGTGGACATGGGAACTTGGATGAGACATGGCGAGGAGGACGTGGGTGAGGAGTGCTACTGGCTCCCAAAGTATGGTATGGAGCACAGTAGTACAGTAGCAAGGTGGGGCGGAGGGGGGAGAGAGGAGAGTGGGAAGAAGGGAGGGGGATGGGGGGATGGGGGGATGGGGGATGGGGGGATGGGGGATGGGGGGATGGGGGGATGGGGGATGGGGGGATGGGGGGATGGGGGGATGGGGGGATGGGGGGATGGGGGATGGGGGGAAGGGATGGGGGGAGGGAAGGGAGGGGAGGAAGGGAGGGGAGGAAGGGAGGGAGGGGAGGGAGGGGAGGGATGGTAGGATGGTAGGATGGTAGGTGAGGAGGTAAGTAGAGTACTGTACTGGACTATAGGACTATACTGGTAATACTGGACTATACTGGACTATACTGGACTATACTGGTAATACTGGTAATACTGGTAATACTGGTAATACTGGACTATACTGGACTATACTGGACTATACTGGACTATACTACACTATACTGGCCTATACTGCACTATACTGCACTATACTGCACTATAACCACTATAACCACTATAACATAACTGCAACCTCCACACTACACTACTTTCAACGCTGGACAGGCAAAAGAAAAACAAAACCAATGTGTGCATGCATACGTGATGTTGTTTTCTGTCTACATGTCTATACTATCCATATGCCTGTCTGCGTCTGTTCGTGCATACTGGGTACGTACCGCCTCTACCTTACACCACCCACCCCCACCCATAACCACCATAATACTACTACACCATACTACTCACGGACTGAATGACTTGCATCTCGGAACTTGAACTTGTACTGGCCTGACCAACTAACTCCGTCACCATCACCATCACCATCACCGTCACCGTCACCGTCACCCTCACCGTCACCCTCACCCTCACCCTCACCCTCACCCTTCTTGTTCTATTCTAACCCTCTTCTTCATCCTATCTGCTCTCTCTCTTTTCCATCTTTCCATCTTTCCATCTTTCCACTCACTCTCCTCCTCCTCCTCGACTCACTCTCCCCCTTGCGCCCCTCTATACACAACCTTCAACCCACACGTAGGCCCCGCAAAGGAAAACAAAAAAAAAAGCAAAGAAACGAAATTCCTCCTTCTCTTTATTACTCCCATCTTGCCCTCGCCGGACCGCACAATTCCTCCGCAGACAAATCTTGCCCTGAGAGCTGAGTTGAGCTGAGCTGAGCCGTGCCGCACCGCACTCCCCACGTCAGCAAACCACACTTCACATCACACAACCCACCAACAGACAAACCAAGGAAATATCTTACCCACGAAAGGAAACCGCGCCCACTCTCGCTCACTCAAACCCCACCAACCCACCACGAGGAAATCCGAATCTCGGCTTCCCAAGTGTCTCGCGACCCTCCATATTACAGTCGCACACACAGCAAGCAAACCAAGCAAACCGCAGCGCTCCGCCTCGCAGCATCCATTCCCCAGCACCGGTAGATCAGGGTAGCTAGTCTTCCCTTCGCGACGGTTCGCGGTCCTTCCTTAAGAGGTCGTCGGGATCAACAGCGCGGGCCATAGTCGCAAACAAAGACTGGTAACGAGTCCTTGGGCACACCACCAAAACCACAAAAATCTCGGAGGCCCAAACAAGTTACCATCCCAGATCTGGGCAGACGGGGACTAAAGACGGACGACCGACTTGAATTTGGAGGGTATTGCCACTTGGTTTTACGGCTCAGATTAGTATTTCTACAGTTGTACTGTACGAACTGAGAGAAAGAAGAAAAACAGAAAGTTGAATTGGCGCGAAACAGACGCCAGAATACTCTCACAATAAACCTCGCATCTCATACCCACGGGAAGCGCGAATCTGCTACTGGTTGAGCCATTACAACCCCATTCCAAGAAATTTCCAAGAACCAAAGGAACATCAGAAAACCTCTCGAGTCGCAGAAATACCTCTCCCCAATCCTGCAATCTCGCGGCCCCAGAATTCCGATTTCCTGGTTGAGAGGGCACCGACGGTCCACTTGGGGTGATCTACTGTTCCGCAAAGTTTGGTACACTTGTCACCGCCGGAGGCAGACGAAATTGGCGCTTGGAAAATTTTAGAAGAGTTACTTACGGGAGGGAAGGCGCGAAACGCAGTGGGACGGTGAAAAAAACCCACCGCCACACACAAAAGACGCACAAGCACCAAGGAGCACAAAGCAGAAACGCGCACTCACACACACTTAAACTATCTGCGGCAGTACGGTAAAGAGTAAAGTCGTGCAGCCGTTGCCCGGTTTTGTGGACTCGTCCAACTTCAAAACAACACACCACTGGGATTACTGGGAAATACAAAGAGAGGAAATATACAGTTGAGCCGGATCAGCTGGATCGCGGACCTGAATCATTCATCTTTGGTCGCTCTGGGTCAACCTCGCTCGCTATCCGCAGGGCCCGTCCGCTATCACATCCACTAAAAGGCCCCCCCCGAGCCTTTCCAACCCCGCTGAAGGACAGCCCGGTCTGAGAGCTGAACAGCCCAATCCGCGGGTACACTTGGAACCCACCTCATCCCTCCATTATCATATAATCCATCTTCTGCCCTCTGCCACCTCCTCTTCCTCTCCATCCGACTTCTAATATCGGGTACGACGACCACATCGCAGGCAGTTTGTGCATATCGCCGCTGTCTTCCGTACCGGACTTCTCTCACAGTCCTTGCCGCCAGACCAATTCTTGACGTTTTTCCAAGAATAATCGACCGGCTAGAACTGGGACTTATCGCCTTCTCACCTCCACACCGACGTACGACCACCAGCTTCGGATTTCGCCTCCCCAGACGCGATTTCGCCTCCCTGAACACTCCTAGAGGTACGAAATAAACCACAGACAACCATCTCTCACTTCTCACTGCACGACCAATCTCCCAGACGTGTAAACACCATCCAGCGACTTCAGCTCGCGGACCTTTGAAGCCAAAAACTCCCCGATCAATCCGCCACCGTGGCGATCTATCACAATATGTCGTATTCGGAACAGCAAGGAGGACCCTATCCTCCACCTAGAGACCCGCGCGATCTTGGAGAATCGCAGTACCCTCCACCTCCAGGAGAGTACCCCCCGCCACCCGGGGAAGAAGACGACCGCGCGAGAGCGTACCACCAGCGCGCGCCAATGCCGACCAACGTCACGCTGCCCTCGATATCTCCGTACGATCCACAGTATGCTGCGATAAACGGCTACACGCAGGATCCGAGGTACAGACAAGATCCGTATCATCAGGGGCCGCCACAGGGCGCCTATGACCAGCGTGCTTATCAGGGAGAGTACAATAGGGGCGGACCTCCACATATGGCTTTCGGCCAGTCCGCGCCGAGGCAACGGACAGCAATAGCATGCAGGTATTGCAGAAGACGCAAGGTAAGCCGATTCCCTGTGGCGACTTGCGATAGCAAGTTGTGGCGAAAGTCTTTGTTTCGAGTATTAGAGGCTGACATCACCTTAGATTCGCTGCTCAGGTTTCGAGGATAACCCGACGGGCAAGTGCCAAAACTGCCAGAGATTCCAGCAGGAGTGCATTTTCACGCCTGTCTCGTCGCAGGCTCAGGCTTTCGTCCCAGCGCACGCCGCGTACCCACACATGCGCAACGTCATGGGCCCCGACGGGCGCCCGCGACACATGTACCAGAACCAACAGCTCTATGGCGCCCATGGACAACCTCTAGGACCTATTCCGCAACAGGGAGCTCAGGGCCCGCAATATGGCGAATACGCCGTTCCGTCGCCGACGGGGTCGTATCACAGCTTCACAGAGGACCGAGGAGCGGATACCGGTAGGAAACGGCCGCACGGCGAGCCGCAAACGTCTATCCTACCGCCACCTAACCCGGGACAACCTCCGTATCCGCGTCAAGAACCTGGAAGGAGGCCTCCTGTCGATGACGATTTGCGACTCGCGCCAGTGACGCCAGTTGTTGGCCAGGCGAACTCGAATTACTCCCCTGGCTCCTCTACTTCCTCCACCTCCGGCAGGCGTCCAGGGAATGAAGGACTGTCATCTATGTCCCGCACACCGCCTCTGCGCTCGTCTCCTGGCGATCGCAGCGATCCCATGGCGCTGGGGAATATCATGGAGCGGCGTCCCGAAACCGAGATCGATAGGAATATGCTTGGTCGACTTGGTCGGAAGTAAAGCAAGCAGAGCAGATGACGCTTCTGTGCAGCGACACCGCTGGGATGTTCGCCGACGAAGAATCCATTCTTGCAAATTCATTTATAAAAACCTCATCTTCTCGTATAAAAAACCAGCCCCCTTGGAGGTTACAGTTTTTTTACGGGTTAGGGTATTTTTGCCTTCTCTGGCCGACTTGCGAGGGATACGGGAACAGCTGGCTGCACTCCCCTATCTCCCTTTCCGCGACGTCTTGGTGGCGGCGACGCAACCTCTGGCAGCGCGAATTGGGTTCTTGGGGGCGGGGGAGGGACACAACTTTTTTTTCTCATTTCATACTTTTTTTTTTTATATTTTATTTTATCAAGTCAAACTACTGGAGTCAAAAGAAATGTTAGATGGGAACAACTGCCTCACGGCAAACAACAAAAATTCATATCGGTGTTCATCAGGAAACGGAAAGGAAAAGAAAGGGGGCAAATCTTATTGCTAGGCTTTTCCTCTTTTTTTGGGGGGGGGTTAGGTTGGGCGGCTGTCTGCTTTATAGCTTTTTTGCATCGGGCGGCTGGGTTTTTCGCGCGGGGAACCGGGAGAGAAAACTAGGGGTGGTGCGGATGCTGGGGGCGAGCGGGCCGTTGCGGCTTCGGGGGACGGGAGTAGGGCGGAATGGGAATGGAGGCACATTTTTTTTGGTGGGGGGCACATTGGATGGGGTGGGGGTGGCGGCTTTTTGCTTTATTTTATGCGCGCATTCGTTTTTTTTTTGTAATTGATGTTGATGCTTTTTAACAGAATATGAAGAGTGAGCTCTGATATGTGGTTGTGTTTGTGAAGACGGGTGTGTGATGTGTGGTGTGAATTGGGGGGAGTTGATGCTGTGATGTGTGATGGGTGTGTTGCTTGAGGATGTGTGTGGTGTGATGTGAAGGGGATGCTGTAGATAAGTACTCTGCGCACCCGTGAGGAGTAAGGTCACAACGGTAGGAGACACAAAATAATATGTCAGAGTATGGAATTGGTTCTATCTACGTAAACTACGACCATCTATCCCATTGCCCCAAATCATAGCGATCTCCGTATTTAGAAAACCAGACGTATCCCAGGCAATCTACGCATCCACCCCCTCCACCGACGGCAGCGGAATCGATCGATACAACAAAATCAGCGCCGAATGGCTCTCCCCCCCGCCACAAAGCGTATCAATCTTCTCCGCCACCACTTCCGTAACCGTATCATCATTAAACCACCACCACTTCCCATCCTCCTCCTCCCTCTTCCCCGTCTTCTCATTCATCCTCCCCTCCTTCTTGACGTACGACGTGTAATGCCCACTATCCGCACTAGCGCCCTGATGCGTGACTACGCCGCGGAGCTCGTAGAGACCGGATTTGTTCGCGCCTTCGTCGGCTGCGAGTTCGGGGTTGATGAGCGCGTGGAGTTCTTTTTTGGCGGAACGGATGGAGGCCGCGCGCTCGGCTTCAATCTCGGCGTCGGTTCTGTAGGTCTCGTCGGTCATCTCGGTGTCACCGCCAGCAGTTGCAGCAGTGCCCTCTGCGGGCTTGGCGGGGGCGGGGGCGGGGTCGGATTTCTTAGACTCAGTAACCGAATCCACGATTCCTGCCGCCTTATCCGCCTCCTCCTTATCATGCTGGCGCTTCTGGCGCTTGCGCGCGCGCTCCACATCCTCGACCTCCTTACGGACATCACGGACCTTGTCACGGACGGGGATGAGCATCGACTTCAACTGATCGGTGCAGAACTCCACGACATCGAGCTCATGCGGAAAAGTGACCTTGCGCATGATCTTCGCCTTCTTCTGAGCCTCGCGCTTCCAGTAGAAGCGGACGAAGTGGACGGTGAGGTAGGTGGGGAGGCGGGCGAGCTTGGATTTCTTGGTGTACATTGTGTCGCGGTCTAGGAGGGCGGATTTCTTCTCGATCTGCTCGTCGAGACCGGCGGCGAGGCCGTCGCGGAGGTGGTTGGTTGTCGCGCTGATGTGGCAGTCGAGCTTGAGGAAGGGTTCGGAGGTGATGACGGGCTCTTCGCCGAGCTCCGCGGCGGCGGGGTCGTCGCAGGTGAGGGTGGAGGAGAAGCGGCCGGCCATGTATTTGTCGATGAAGGAGGTTTCGGAGTCGTCTGTGGTGTCCTTGATCTTGAGATTTTGGCGTAGCTGGGAGACGATTTGGGACCAGGCTTCTTCGGCGTCTTGTTGGGCGTAGCCGTTTCCGGACTTGTCTTTTTGGGCAAATTGGGGGTACAGGTTCTGTAAGGCGCGGAGGAAGACCATGGGAGGGAAGCCTTCCTGGGTATCGGACATCTGGGAGTAGAGATCGCGTAAGGAAGCCGTCAGGTCCAATCCAGCGGAAGGTCCCCCGAGTCCGAACTGACTCAGACCACCAAGTGCGCTGTTTGAAGCTGTTGTCCCCTTGTATTTCGCGAGTTCCTGTTGTAGCTCGGGAACTGCGCGCAGTGTCTGGAGGGTAGAGTTGAGATAACATGTGTTCCCCAGGTTCTGTAGTCCAGCTGGTGTGGCGCCTTCTTGTCTCGCCTGTTCGGCCTCCGTCATATCCTCGACGAACTTCGTCTTTTCCTCTGGCCGCGAGATGGCGTTTCCGTCCGTAGCTGGTGTACCCATCATCATGAATGTCTGTCCCGGCTTTGCGCCGAGCTTCGATAGGTCGGTATCATCCTTGAGCTGGCCGCCCTTGACGAGGATCTTCTGTCGCTCTGGTTCGACGCCGGTAAGGGAATATAACTGGAATTTGAAAACTTCTCCCAGTGAAGTCAGATCGAGTTCTACCTCATATTTCTTCCCCTGGTGCTTCACGATGACTGCTGGAGGGTTAGCATGTATTTATAATACGGCTGTTTGGGGCGGCGTGACTTGCCTGGTATGGTCGCCATGATGAATGGTTGTTCTCCTGTTACTAGGGTGTGGAAACGATTCAACTTTGTAGTTTTGTAGTTCCCTGCCAGATGTTATAGAGTTGAGGGAAATGGCAAACAGGAATGGAGTGGGTGGTTGTGTTCTGAATCAATTGCTGGATTAACTTAGGTGGCACACAACATACGCAACTACAAGGTAAAACGATGCAGTCGCGGGGAAGAAGCTCAGTGATTGGTTGGGGCGCTTAGTCACAATAGAGACGTCAACGTTCCTGTCGCGATGGGTGGCCGCCGGAACCCCACCATCCCAACTCGACCCGGACTCCACCTCACGAGCATTGAATACGTTGACATCACACGGCTGCGTTGACTCGTAGCTCCAGCCATAGCTGATCATGGTAATGTTTCTTAGGATTAGTATGACGGCAGCTGCTAAATAGTTACAGTCTCAATCATTGCGCCCTTACTTGCAATGCGTCCGATCCTCCCTCACCTCCGCACTCTGCTTATCGAACTTCGCATCCCAGACGTCTGAGAGGCACAATGTCCCCGAAATCGAAGCACAGACATCTCCGGAAGTGCTGCTGAACCCCCTCACAATTTCCCGCAACGAGAACGAGCGTGTGATCATCGAGCCGAGTATCAACAGTATCCGCGTCAGCATTAAGATCAAGCAGGCAGACGAGATCGAGCACATCCTGGTGCACAAATTTACGAGGTTTTTGACTCAAAGAGCTGAGGCATTCTTCATTCTGCGCAGGAGGCCAGTGAAGGTGGGTCTAGAAAGTGATAGCGGGGTGATACAGCTTTATACTAACTTTGGCTAGGGATATGATATCTCATTCTTAATTACCAACTTCCACACCGAGGAAATGTTGAAGCACAAGCTTGTTGACTTCATCATCCAATTCATGGAGGAGGTGGACAAGGAGATATCCGAGATGAAGCTCTTTGTATGTACCATTCTCTCGAGCGGCTGGATAATTGCTGATATCTACCTACAGTTGAACGCAAGGGCGAGATTCGTTGCAGAGTCGTTCTTGACACCTGTAAGTACCCTTTATGGTGGTCCACGAAGGCAAATACTGACACAATCCTAGTTCGACTAAAGAGTTATCCCTGTTTTATGACCTTGTAGCGTTTTGATGTATATATCAAAATGCATATTGCGCGGCGTTGACGGATCAAAATAAATCCTACTACAGACATTGATATAGCTTTTCATGTCACTATTGCTTCCAACATCCTGAATTACATCTCCCATGACTGCTCCTATGTGCTTGAGTTGTTTTCCCAAGTGGGTGAAGATAGAATTGTGGCAGTTGATCAAGTGAATCTGAACTATGTCCTCGTCAGTATGGACTTGGTGAACTGACCCAAAATTGAGAGAGACCTCTGGAAGTAAATTTCTTATTCTGTCTTGCTACGTGACTTCCAAAGTTGGGTTGCATTTAATATGTGCTCTTGATACAATTCCATTGTGTTAACTCTCTTTCACCGACCCCTTGCTATCTGGAATCATTGTGACTATGGAGCTTCTAGTTGATCACATTGGAAAAGCCCATGAGATATCCCTGAATAGGATAAATTTCTTGTGATTGAATGTGCCAGTAGCTGACTTCTGGCAGCGGTTGCCTGCAACACATATCTCCCTGGGGCAGTTTAAATGGGGAGGGGGGCATCATTAGGAGCCGGTTCCCACATTCCCTCTTGGCTTTCCTTCACCCTACTCCATCCAACCTTGATGTCTACTCCAGCCTCGAGGTGAATATCGGCCGGAAAAGTATCAACTCCGATCAGAAGGCTACCAAATTCAAGGCACTGTTAAGGTGAATTTTATATCTTACCTCCACTAAGGTTTGGCTTGTCTTTCTTACTCCATCCATCCTGCTTCCTTTCCTTACTCGTTCCACCCTGCTTCCTTCCTTTCATATACTCCCACCTACACCTTGCTCAGAAGCTATATAGGTATGTTAGAACTCTGAACACACACTCCACCAACAACAAACTGCCATATAGGCATTGGCACTCTCTTCTTTACCTCGTTGCTTTTGAGCTTGACTGAGCTAACTATCCTTTACCAGTGTCTTTGTTCTGCCACCCTTTGGCTATTGATCACCAACAGGGTTGGTTGAGAACCAAATCATACCTGTCTTTAACTACTCAGTTGCAACTGACTTTGGTCCTGATTGAGATGAACCAGGATTCCTTTAGGAACCCTGCTGAGGGCCATGGCCAGCCATGGCTTTTGTCCAACCCAATGAGATTGCCTACAGTGGCATCAGTCGACTCCCAGGAGTCATTTGCTTCGCAGATCCCACTGCCCTACCATCTCCCAGCGGACCATCCTGAGCATGGGTATACATCGAGACCACTGACAGGTCAGCCCTGGACATATCAAGGCCCAAAGGAGCCATCCGGGGCATCTAAGGATGTTCATGGCCACCGATCTGATCAGTTCTATGGTAACCAGTATGGGATTCCACAAAACTATGGTGCACCAGCAGTACAACCCCCTCCATATAATGGCCGTGGAAGATTTGATCCTGCATATGCACCAGCTTACAACTCTGGATATCCTCAAGGTTTGGGTAACTCTGGATATCAGCACCCACCAGGTGGTTATTCTCATAATATGCAATCTTACGGCCACAATGGCTGGCAGGGCTTCTCCGTTCCTCAGTCAGCTCCGCCATACCAGCAAACCTTTGGCCCAGATCGGATGATGTCTCCTCTGGGCTTTCATCCCCACGGATCTCAACACCCTGGGACGTATCCCGTAGCTTACGGACCCAACGGAGGATACCAGAACTACAACGGCGGAAAGGCCCCTGCCAGACGCAATGCACACAGACCTCGCTCGTCTGTTGCAGCAATCAATCTGCCAAGCCAGTACAATGATGACTTCAAGCAGAAAAATGGTGGCTTGGGACAAAAGAGATATGTCTCCAGTGGCGACAGTCATGAGTCGACACAGGATGCTGCGGAGCCATTCCCTTGGAGCTCAAAGGAATACAAAACCCCGAATGGAAAGACTATCGAAGCTCCACCCACACCCAAAACTGCCAGAGAGCTCGGCCAGGAGACTCCGACACCACTACTCCGCTCCCGTTGGAATGAATCTGTCACCAATGTCGCCAGATCCTTTAAGACAGAGTCTATGAATGACCCTCCACCATTATTCTCCATAAATGGCAGACGTCAATCCATAACTACTGATTCAAGCCAGGTGTCGCCTCGCACTGCCCCTGAGAAGATGGCAGGCCCTGATTCAGATGCTGTTGATCCGTTCTATGCTGAGTCCACTGATATTGCCATTTATGGTAAGAAAGCTCGCTTTGATTTTGGAACCCCGTCGCGTGCCGCGGTTATGCCGCTTCATGTTTCACTGTACCAGTCTACCCCTGGCCCCAGCACTCACTTGGCTGCTTTGTGCCCCAACGGAGCGAAGCCTAATGTGGAGGTGGCATTTGATTCCGCAAACATGCCATTTGTGGAGCCTGCTCGCACTCATCCTGGCCATCGAACCACTGGAGTGGTCCGCATCTCCAACGTATGTTATTAATACCCTTTATTGATGATTGTGAAAAGCTGACGATAATTACCAGATTCCATTTTCTTGCACTCTGCAGGAAATTTCGGCCTTCCTTGGACGTAATGCCAAGCTGATTCCCGAGGCTGATGAGCCTATTCATATTGTCATGGAGCGTGTCACCAGCAAGACCATGGATGCATTCGTGGAATTTGTTGACATCAACGAAGCCGTCAATGCCGTTACACGCTATGATTCCAACCGTGCCGGAGGTCGAGGTGGCCGTCTTGGCGAGCGCCATGTTGCTCTTGAAGTCTGTGGCCATGAACTTTTCATGCAGGCCCTATTTCCAAAAGCTGTCAATGTTGTTTGGAAAGGCTCTGATCCCCAGATCTCGACCGAACATGACCTTTACAATTCTGGCTTCAAAGGATTCATATCTCGTGAGGAGCTTGTTATGCTTGTGAAGCATGTTGAGGCACCACAACGTGTAAGTTAATATGTGGTTGACAGCCGGCCTATCCTTGCAATGCTAACTGGTATATAGTCCCCATTCTCAAGTGAATGCCCCCAGAGACCATTCGAATGCTTGATCAGCAGTGTCATCAAGGTAAGATATTACTATATGTCCTGCATTTGCTATTGATCTAATGTATTTCCAGTACCCATGGCACAAGGTCCATGATATCACTATTGGTGATCGTGATGCTCTTTTCCAAACTGCAATTGCCCTTTGCAAGAACCTTATTGAGCGCATCGACAGTGGTGGCCAAGATCTGGCGCTCAACGATAGACTTCTCAAGCGCATTCAGCGTGCCGTGCTCAATTGCTGTGGCTTCAGCGAGTCACAGAAAGATGACTTCGCATTCATTTTCAGAATGACGTCTCTTGAGGCTGGACTGCCACCTCATGCCGATCACTGGAGCATGTTTAAGACGATTGGAGCGAAGCGTAACTGGCATCAAGATGTTATTCTTGTAAGTTTCTGCTGCTGGTTAGTTGTGGCTACATATTCTGACTCGAAGATAGTACTACATTGCATTGCTGCGAGAGGCCACTACTTCATCTGCCCTTGTCAGTCTGGCTGAGAGGTCTGCCAAGGGCCTCCAGACTGGTGCCTTGTCTGTATTCGGCAACATTGAGATTGAGTATCCAAAGGACGTCTCCAACATGTCTCTTTCTGCTGTGGGAGAAATTGAGTGGCACGCCATTGAGGCCCTACTTCGAAAGGTCTTGGAATGAAGACTGTTTCAGTTAGCTGCAACATTTAGTATTCACCACGTGCAAATCTTTAAGAAGCTCTGACAGCGCTAGATCCAAGAAGAAGAGTTGGAATCGCCGCCGCCGCTGCACAAGTTTGCACGTATATTTTGTGGCTCGTCTTCAGGGTTACTCATGTACTATAGGTCAAGGTCGTTTTCTTTTTTCTCTGCAGTCTATACTTGAGAGTTAATGTCAAAGGTGGCGGGGCCGTGGGGTTTCTGCTGATATTACCACACCTTAACTCGCATACTATACCTTCTTTTCATCTGTTTTTCAGCCTATATATGAGAGTTGAGGTTCGGGGTGGTGGGAATATGCTGTTTCTACCGATATTAGAACAGCGTATCGAATTCTTATAAGGTGGCACTTCGGTCCTGATTGCCTTTATTGGTTATTATAGGAACCGCGTGTAGTTATCTGAAGAATAAAAGTTTGGTGCTTCTTTGTGTGTTGGCTCCTTAATGTGTTCAATGATGGTTTTGAAGTGTTATATTGCCTGTCCCGTGATTTTCGACGGCCGTATTATACTGCAAAGACCGTTAAACCCTCAATGCCCAACGCTCACTCCTTTCACCCCTACATGAGTCAAGTCCTATATAATAAACGTATCTATTGCTTGTGTACGCCAAAGCATCGGATGGCGTCGTCGTCAGCATTACCTGCGCTAGCTCCAAGCTTTGTCGCCAAAAAATCAGCAATTTTACATGATCTGTCAACCCCAGCATCGTCTTATGAGGATGCGTCGCCAAAAGGGTCTGTTGATACTGCTATCGTAGAACTGATTGACGAAATCAATAAATTGGATGGGTTTGTTACAACTAGTAGCTGCGCTGGGAGGATCAGTGTCTTTGTTGAAGGAAAGAAAAAGAGCGAGGACCGCCAAGTTGATGAAGACCCCTCGAATGACGTAAAAGGCAGGGGGCAGAGCAGTCAAGACAAAGAGACCATAGCTGGCACTGGTGGGAAAGGCGGCGGCGGAAAATGGCTCTATGTCTCTCATGGTCCATTTACCTTCCAAGCTGGGCAGGATTTGGCGGCGGCTTTGGGCATGGCGAGGACGGCGGGAGATAGAGAGAGCGCTTGGGAAGGACATAGGCTTGTGAGATTTAAATTTGAACCGATGGTAAGTTGTTTCTATTTCTATGAGTTTTGCGTGTTTCACCTTATTTTGTTATATCTGAAATATATTCTACATAAACTAGGGTCGTCTGGTGGCCGTCGTCATTTTTTTATATTAATATTTTATAGATTCTTCACATCCTCACGGCGTCATTGGAACATGCACAAATGGTTTTAAGGGCAGGGCTTGCAGCAGGATTTAGAGAATCTGGTGCAATAAACTTGACAAGCCCTTCTTCAGCAACACCCATGGTTGCAATTCGGAGCATGGGACTCGGTCTAGAATCTATGGTGGGGCTGCTCGACGGTAATGATGAGGCGATATGCTTTGTGTCAGAGAAGTCGCTGGGGGGGTTGCTGACGATATCTAACGAGAGATTCGAAGAGAATTCAAGGCGGAAAGAGAGGTTCTGGAAGGCTTTGCTGGAAGGTGTTCAGGCGGGAAGCTCAGGAGATGGGCTGAAAAAGAAGCGAGGTGAAGATGGCGGGGATTGGGAGGATAAGGAGGTAAGGAGGGAGAGGTTAAGACGAGAGGGACTGGGGAGAAGCAAGGCAAAGAAGGAATCCACCAACACCGAGCCATCATAGTGTAACTTAATACTTTACAATAAAAAGACTACTAGCCAAACTCGGAGCCTACAACGAGTAGCAACAAGACATTTCAGAAGTTGGTGATGCAATACCGGTCCATATAGCTCATATTTTGGCTACATGCTGTCTACACACTGTTGATGAGCCTTCGTGGTGGCAGATCGAGGGCCGAATGGCAGGTGTTGAGAACTCTTGCCTAGCACACGATAGTGCTTGAAGACTGTGGCCTTTGCAAAAATCACCTAAATCCTCTTCAGGTAGCTTGACCACATCCCTATCCGATTTTCGTAGTTCGGGACGCCACAATTCTCTCTAGTCAGACCCGAGATTCTTATTCCTCCTCCTGTACGAATGGGTTGGCGATTGATTCGCTCCCATCTACTGGGCTGACCAGCACCAGAAGTGTTCCTCTTGCCACCACCAATCCCAGTGATCGCGTAGTCTCGTTTCCGTCGTCATCTATAGACTGGGTTAGCGGCATAAATAATGACAGTGCAAGGTGCGGACCTCGTAAGACTTCCTGCACATCGTCCAAGACCAAATTCATCAACGCGTCGTAACCTTTTAATGCGCCAGTAACTAAAAAGACCAGAAGTTAGAACGAATCCAGTAGATACAGAACTATGCTTCAGGGCGTATGCTGGTTCAGGTGCTCCTCAAAGCCAGTGGCATCATGCGACTGGTTGATACGCTTATCGAATCGGTTCGAGGCTGACGCTGGGAGAATCGCTCACCTTCTCTACCGCCATTAAACTTCACTGTAATCCTCTTATCCATATATTTGCTTAAATCGAGAATGTTCTCCTTCTTTGGCCGTTCCTGCTGTTGTGAATTGTGCCCGCCGCGCCCTCCACCTCCGCCGCGCCCACCTCTGTGTTCGCCTCCACGCCCGCCTCCACGTCCACCACCGCGTCCACCGCGAGACTGGGGGCCCTGATGTTCGGACATTGACTGAGTTGTGCAATGTTGTAATTGCACTTTGTGCTTTCGAATCGCGGGGTTTGGGCTTCGGCGAGTAGGTTATCTGAGATTAACTTTGATACAGGCCGTTCCACCTGGTCGTCCGGCGGAGCTTGGGCTGCCGCCGCTAACCCTAAGTGGGAAGTTTTGGGAGGAGCGGGACTTCCAGCGGAACTCGTCTTTCTTGTGTGTGCCGCCGAATGCAATGCTTCTCCGAATGTTCGAGACCGACCCTACACAGTTGAAAATATACCTAGAATTCGAGAGAATCCAGTGAACATTTCGTTTCACACAAGTCCGCCCCTGACATCCCGCCTACGTGGCCAGCAAATTGCCATTCCGCCGTCGTTCCCTCCCCGCTCCGCGCCGCTGCATATCAAAGACCTTCTTCATATTGGAAAGGAGAGGAGGCTCAGCCGCTCTAGGCTCTATCATATACCAAACCCCAACGTGACATCCGAAATGGATAACCCAGAAGCCCCTGGCGGAAAGCGAAAGCGTAGTATATCCACAGCCATGCCTCAGCAAACAAGACAGCCATTGCAGCCTCAAATGCCAGGTACGTCATACAGATATTCAAGCGTCTCTCATTCTCTGCAGTTTTCATCACACATGGAACTCGACTTTTATAAGCGGGAACCTTGACTGAACATCGTCATACTATTGTAACTCATCATAAGTTCAAAGGAAAATCACGTGACTATATCACGTGCGACTTTATGCGTTCTTTGAGCTGTGTTGATGCCCGTCGTTTGCTGGTTATGAACTGTAGCTGATTAATCTAGGCAATGTTCCTCAAATAAACTACCTGGCTAAGGCAAGAAGCGGCAAGATGAGGTTGATAGAAGGCGACGCAGATGATTTCGGTAACATTCTCGGCCTCATTGACGATTACGAAGGTCAGTAATTACGTATATAACTTGCTTATGCAGAAGTTGACGAAGATAGGGGTGCTCCAACGCCATGAGAGTCTCGCGGCAAATTTGGGGGCGAAGCTTGTTGGCCCACTCCTCTTGAAATCAGTCGAGAAACTCTTCGAGGGCCCAATTAAAGTCACTACGACATATCCCGCTGAAGCTGTACCTATAACCTGGCTCGATGTCCTTGATTTCGCAAGGTCAACGCCCCAAAATTTTGTTCTAAGCGAGTCAAGGAGCGGTGGCAGAGTATGCCAGTTCTGGATCAATCAATGTAGCGTTGAGATATCAGAAGATGACTACAGATTGATTATATCAGGCGCACCAGAAAGAATGCTTCCAACTCAGCCGATTGTTGACGATGAAGTTGCGGAGCTTGGCACAATGGATATCCTAGAGCAACGCCTTTCAATGCTCATAAAGCGGGCTGACCTTGTTGCGGCTCGAGCGAGGCAGTTGAATTACCACCTCAAAGGTAGAAAATCTGCTATAGCAAGCCGCCGGGCAGTTGCACAATCACCCGAACAAACTGGTGCAAGCTCATCGGCCCAGTTCATGACAAACCAGATGCAGGTTTCCACAAGCAACGGTGAGGGCCGCTCAATCCACCTTGATTTGCTTCGGCAATTCCAACATGATGATCGAAAGGGGATGCCATCACGCATTAAAGGTAGCCATTCTCAAACAGATGCTACAGGCTCACCAATGCCGGGAGAATCTCCAGCGCCAACCAGCTTTGGCAGACGCGTAACTGATCCAATGCGTTCTGGCGCCGATGATGGAACTGGGGGGCAGTATCGACCTTTGATCGCCGCCAGGATAGAAAAAATGAACCGGAACGACCCAATCTGGCCTCCATGTGATCGATGCAGGCGCTTACGTATGGAATGCACCAAATACCTTACAGCCTGCGGTGGCTGTACAAAGAAGCATGCGAAATGTTCCTGGCGAGATATCACAGAAGAAGAAATTGCGTTTCTGATCCAGATCCCAGAGTCCTCTATTGAAAACGAAGATGGAGCTCTTGAAGTAGCAAACATGAATGCTAACCTGGACCCAGACTTACGCCTTATGAATGGCGGAGGGATGCATCTGGATGGTCATGGTAGTGAAGGTCTTATTGGCCCTGGGGAAGGCAAAAGAGGTGATGTTTTAACAGATGAGCACTCTATCTTGACACAGATGGCATCCGCGGCAGCTACTGAAGGAAACCGCTAGACAGCTAACGCAAACTTCTGTTGTCTGATGTCATCTATATAATAATAGTACAATGCGAATACCATTGCAATTCTGTATATAATTTGTGGCGGATCATGTGATATATTCCACCTTTCGGGCTACAGTGACTCACAGAACGCTAAACAACAAAATAACCAATGACTCGACCACCAAGGGAACGGCAACCCAACTAAAATATTTAATTATACAGCATTGGAAAACAGCTATTTGCACACTCACCCATACCAATCGAATATACAGAACCTTGGGTTATATACTCCCATTGTAAACCACAAAGTATATTTCAAAAGGTAACACCACCAAGTGTTACCCCGCCATTTTCACAATGCCGATGTACGGAGGTTACCCCAGACGAACAACTTAAGCCACTGCTAATTATCAAACTTGTAGGCTTGCAGACCCCTCGAAGAAGTACAAGAGGTTTCCACCTTTGAAGCTTGAAAACCGCACATGGCCGAACAAGATAATTGAGAAGCCGCCGCGATGGCTCGCAACAGACTTGCGTGATGGCAACCAGAGCTTGGTGGACCCAATGGTTAGGAAATATACAGTCTGCCCATGTAACTGCCTGCTAATTGTCTATAGGATGGCGAACAAAAGTGGAAGTACTTTCAGATGCTTGTGGAGCTCGGCTACAAGGAGATTGAGGTTTCGTTCCCATCTGCGTCCCAAACCGACTTCGATTTCACACGCCGACTTGTCGAGACTCCAGGCGCAACACCGGACGATGTGTGGCTCCAGGTCCTCTCCCCATGCAGGAAAGACTTGATTCTCCGAAGTGTCGATTCTCTCAAGGGAGCCAAGAAGGCCCTTCTCCATTTATACCTCGCCACCAGCGAATGCTTCCAACGCATTGTGTTTGGATTTACACAGGAGGAAGGCATCGCTTTGGCAGTGAAGTGCACGAAGTATGCTCGCTCGATCACAAAAGACGATCCGTCACAAGCCGGCACAGAATGGGCATACGAGTTCAGCCCCGAAACCTTCTCAGACTCCAGCCCAGAGTATGTCATAAGAATCTGTGAAGCCGTCAAGGAGGCCTGGGGGCCGACAAAGGAGAACCCGATCATTTTCAACCTTCCCGCCACAGTTGAGATGTCTACACCAAACGTCTACGCGGACCAAATTGAATATTTCTGCACAAATATTACTGAGAGAGAGAAGATTTGCGTTTCTTTACATCCACATAACGATAGAGGATGTGCCGTAGCAGCTGCCGAGTTGGCTCAGATGGCTGGTGGAGACAGAGTTGAGGGATGTTTGTTTGGAAATGGCGAGCGTACGGGAAATGTTGATCTTGTCACTTTGGCACTTAACCTCTATACGCAAGGTATCCATCCAGGGATTGATTTCTCTGATCTCAACAAGGTCATCGATGTGGTTGAGGTTAGCAACAAGATTCCTGTTCACCCTCGAGCTCCATATGGCGGGCAGCTTGTTGTCTGTGCCTTCAGTGGCTCTCACCAGGACGCTATCAAGAAGGGTTTCAACCTTCGGAAAACTGCCACTGATGATGACTTGTGGCAAGTACCTTACTTGCCACTTGATCCTGCCGATATTGGCAGAACCTACGAGGCTATCATTCGCGTGAACTCTCAGAGTGGCAAGGGAGGCGCGGCGTGGATCATTCTTCGCAATCTTGAATTGGACCTTCCTCGTGGCTTACAGGTTGAATTCAGCAAAGTAGTACAGAGCAAGGCTGACACCGTTGGCCGGGAGCTCCTATCGAGCGAAATCTCCGAACTCTTCGAGAAGTCATACTACTTGAAAGAGAACCCAAGATTTAACTTGGTGGATTACACTATCTCGGCTGATAGGTCTAGCTCGCCGGCGCCACCCGCTGCTGGGAAGACGCAAGATACCAAGAATATGCGAAGAAGATTCGAAGGTGTCATTTCCATTGACGGAGAGGAGCATAAATTGAAGGGAATGGGCAACGGACCTATCTCTTCTCTCGCAAATGCACTTTCGTCAATCGGCATTGATCTTGACGTGCAAGATTATAAGGAGCATGCTATTGGAAAAGGAAAGGGAGTCAAGGCCGTTTCGTATATCGAATGTACAGCTGCTGGATCTTCGCATAAGGTGTGGGGTGTCGGAATCGATGAGGATGTTGTTCAGTCTTCTTTGATTGCCCTCTTGTCGGCCGCATCAAGCGTGAGTTCTTCTTCTTCTCTCTATAATTACGAAAACTTGAATCTAAGTACTAATTTTTTTAAGTTTATCACAAGCAGGCCAAACACGCCGATTCCATTCCGCCCCATGAACAAGGGACGTTGATACCAATTATTTGTAGTCGCTTATTACACTTTGTGGTAATAATTTTCAGTCTGCATTTGCATTATATGTCCAAAAAATAATGGGAACAAATGGAAACAAAAGTAGTCCTTTTAGTGCAGTTTTAATTACAAGCTCCTTGATATAGCCAGTGTTCGGCGGATATATATCCGGGTAGTATCCGTGAAGCTCACGGGTAGGGTATATACCCGGCGACGATCTGACGGGTAGGGTAGGGTATATATCCGGATACATGAGGCTGAATATTGTATATAAAAATAGAATAGCGTATATAAAAAAGAATGAAGCTTTTGATAATAGTAGTAAACCCCTTTCCGCGAGCCCCCTTTCCGTGAGACCCCCCCTTTCTGCGAGTCCCTATTCAGGTGCTTCATCGTCAGCATCATCGCCGTCGCTATCAGCCTCCCGTATTTTACCCCAATTCCGTAAGCAAAGTAAATATCTAATAGTTGGCGGTGATAACCTATTCCGCTTCTTTGTAATAATATCACTACCATTACTAAATACTCGTTCCGATGCTGCAGATGTTGCTGGAATAGCTAGATGATCACGAGCAATACGGGCAATAACTGGATATTGGTATTGCTTTGCGCACCAATATTTGAGAATATCAGTATGCTCACCGGGCCGTGGTTCAAGCATCCAGCGCCTCCATTCTGGCTCTTGAAAAGCCAAGCCTTCTGACGCAAATAGATCTTCGTCAGAATCAGGTTCTTGATCTATTGTAGCAGTAGCACCTATTGCTTCTGCAAGAGCTGTTTCGTGAGTAATTCGCTCCGTATCAAGGTGATACTCTCGCTTTTGGTACGTTCTACAAACGTCTTCGAACTGCGCTCTTGCTCGTAATCTTCGTGTATCGTCTATAGCATTTGGATATATCTTCTTAAATACTGTATGATTCATTCGTGGGCCGCAAATTGTAGCAACAGCTGAGTGCTTACATTGCCGATTCGTTGTAAGAGTATAATACTCATTAAGCTTTTGAAGCGCAGCTCCACAAGCTACTCTGATCGTAGAGCTTCTACCAAGCTCTTCTTGTAGTAATGTGACCTTATTTATCATCTTTAAGTAAAGAGGAATTGTAAAGTTGAGCGTTGGATATGAATCGCTTTGTAGCCGTCTTGACGGCTTTAAGAATACTAAGAATAATCGTTCAAGAGCTTCGATAATAGCCCAATCGTTGCTTGTTAACGCAATATCCTTCATACTGATATCAAGCTTCTGCGTAGAGCATACTGCAGTAATTGGTATTCGAAGCTTTATAGCTGTTTCAAGCATATAGTACGTTGAATTCCAGCGTATAGGCATATCAAGTGATAGCTGGCGTGGCTTCTGGCCTGCAGCTTGTATCTGCTTCTGTAAAGCATCCTTCCATGCTCTTCGGTTTCGAAAGACATAAATATGCCTTCGGAGCTTCTCAAGCGTAGCTGATACTTCAGTAGAAGAGTTATCAATACGCTGCGGAATCCGGGCAAGCCCTTGCTGACACCAGTACGCTTCTGTTTCTGTATCCGGGCTAGCTTTCAAGCTCTTTAGAGTAGCTTGAACTGCAAGATTGATAATATGAGCAATACACCGAACGTCCCCTTCCTTTACAGTAAACGTCCATGGCTGTTGAATAGTCGTCTGCTGCTTACTGGCTATTTTCTCATATTCTGAAAGCATCACAGTATTCGCTGAGGCATTATCCCGCGTACAAGTAAATATAGCACCTGTAATTTCGAAGCTATCTGTTACTGCAGCTAACTCTTGAGCGAGATATTCGCCGCTATGAATTGGCTCTTGAAGGTGGATTACATCAAGTAATACGCACCGGTGCTGCCACTTCTCATTAATCCAATGGCCTGTGACAGCAGCGTACTCTAAAAAGTTCCGTGCAGTCCATGCATCTGTTGTAATAGATATCCGGCCGCCATAGGTAATATGAGCCTGGAGTTCTAATTGTAGCAATCCTCGGTGATATGAGAATTGCCGCTGTAGCTCTCGGTGTAGTGTTCGCGACGATATCGATAGAGTACTTGGGCTTAAGAACTGTACTAATTGATGGAACGAATAGCTCTCAATAAGTCGTAAGGAGAGGTTATTTGATACAACGAATGAGAGTAATAACTCTCGGTATTTCGCTCTACTATTTGATGCTTGAGCTTGAGCGGGCTGGACTTGCGGGTTCCGCGGCCGTGGCTCAAAAAATGACGATGCACTACTTGATGGGCTTGACGGCGTAATTGTATGACCTTTCATTGTATATGCTACTGTTGGATGCTTCTGCGTATAGTGCTTCCAAAGATTACCGGTTGAAGTCTGACTTAATAGCTGCGGAGTAGGTGAATATCCGCAGCCTGGTTGTAAGCAAGTTACTTTGACTGTAGGTGGGTTACTATCAAGTATCAATCGCGAATATAATAGCTTCGTAAATAGTACCGACGACGTTGGTGGCAGCATTCGTCCTGGAGGCTGAAGCCGGAGCGGTGTAGGATTAATATCCTGTTGAATATGAATAGGGGGCGGCAGCGTTGGCAGACTTGGCTCATTATGAGTATCATAGCTATTATAGCCCTCAGGCTCCATTGGTATATCTGATAACGACGAGTCGCTCATTCTGAGGATAATTATCACTTTATACAGCATCAATATAGATCTCACGACGTTGGAAAAAAGAGGTCTTGGCTGCGCTTGGCTATTCTTGGCATGTATCCGGATATATACTCGAGAGTATCCGGATACGCCGGATACTCCTAAAATATCGCCGGGTAGGTATATACTCGAGGATATACCCGGATACCACGGGTATATTGGTATCCGTGCCGAACACTGGATATAGCTCGGAGCTCAAAATGGAAGGACAAAAGGCAAACATAGTTTGATAAGCATAACGTGCATGTATAACGAAAGTGCCAAACAAGCGAAAGTGCCAAAATCATGCGGTGACCAACCCCCCCAACTAAATGTTAAATTCCTCCACAACAAAACATGCGCCATAAAAATGATGAAAGCAAATTAGTGCTAGCTATCCAAGCTATGCAAAGCGACCCAAATTTGCACCTTCGAGTTGCAGCTAGGATCTATTCCGTAGACCACCGCAAGCTACGTCACCGTTTACAAGGTGTACCTTCACGACGCGATATCCAAGCCAACTTACGGAAATTAAGTAACCTAGAGGAATCAGTTCTTGTTCAGTATATACTTGACTTAGCTGCTAAAGGGTTCCCTCCTCAGTTGTCTATTGTTGAAGATATGGCAAATCGACTACTTGCAACACGCGACGCGCCACGCGTCGGGTCACGTTGGGCTTCAAACTTTGTTAAGCGCCATGTAGAGCTCCGGACACGCTTCCAGCGAAAATACGACTACCAGAGGGCTAAGTGCGAAGATCCAGAAGTCATTCGTGGCTGGTTTGAGCTTGTATGGAACACAATTCTAAAGTATGGCATCAACAATGCAGATATCTACAACTTTGATGAGACTGGGTTTATGATGGGCGTCATCTCAAGCGCAACGGTAGTAACGAGCTCAGATGGGCGGGCAAAGGCAAAAAAGGTGCAGCCTGGCAATCGGGAATGGGTTACAGTAATCCAAGGCGTTAGTTCTCAAGGTTGGGCAGTGCCGCCATTTGTCATTGTGGCAGGTAAAAACCACCTTGCATCTTGGTATGAGAATAGCGGATTTCCAGTAGATTGGGTAATCGCTGTTACTGCAAATGGCTGGACTACAAACGAGAGAGGTATGGATTGGATTCAGCATTTTGAGAAGCACACAAAGCCCCGGAGTGTTGGTGGTTATCGCTTGTTAGTCCTTGATGGTCATGAGAGCCACCACTCAGACAAGTTTGAGGAGTACTGCAAAGAACACAACATTATTACGCTTTGTATGCCTGCTCACTCTTCCCATATACTCCAACCACTTGATGTTGGCTGTTTTGGCCCATTAAAGAGAGCTTACGGTCGGCAAATTGAAGATATGATGCGGGCTCATATTATTCACATTACTAAGGATGACTTCTTTCCTGCCTTCCACGCTGCATTTAACATTGCAATGACAGAAAGCAATATTCAGGGAGGGTTCCGAGGTGCTGGGCTTCTTCCATTTAGCCCTGAGAGTGTAATATCTACACTTGACCTTAGGTTTAAGACGCCAACACCTCCAACCTCTCGCCCAAACACCGCTCAACCATGGGTTTCTCAGACACCAAATAACCCAACTGAAGCTGTATCACAGTCTACTTTCATTAAAAACTGAATTGCGCATCATCAAAATAGCTCTCCAACCTCAATCTATGCAGCTGTTGACCAGTTTACAAAGGGTGCATCGCAAATAATGCATCAATTAGCATTGTTAAAAGCAGAGAACCAAAACCTGCGACAGGCAAATGAAGTGCTAAGCAAGCGCCGGAGAGCTAAAAAAACACGACTACAGCAAGGAGGATCACTTAGTCAACAGGTAGCACAGGAGCTACAGGACGAGAGGGACGTTGTGCAGCAAGTAGAGCAAGAAATAAGGGCAAGTAGTGGTCGGAAGCCAAGGGAAGAAACCCATGCACGTCGCTGTGGCAAGTGTGGTGAGACTGGACACAATGCGCGCACTTGTCAGATTGTAATAGACAGGTCTGAGGAAGAGGACTCCGAGTAGTTTTAATTAATTTAAATTGTTGTGGTGGATTTATCGCAATTCTTATGGGGTAGTCGCGATATTTTGGCACTTTCGCTTGTTTGGCACTTTCGTTATACATGCACGTTATCGGAAAAGCAAACAAATAAAAAACAAGGCCTTTGTTTCAGGCACGACAGAATTATAACCCCTGGGCCTAGGCAGTGTAGCATTCGTAACATACAAATCAACACAAATATTGTGACACCGAACTCTCCAGACGAAGAGAAATGGAGAGGAGAGATAGGAGACCGCCAAATCACGTGTCAGTAGATGTGACAGAAGAAACAGGCCGATCTGTGATTTGTCTGTTAGACGAGGGTTTACGCCAAACGCGGCCGGCAACCAAACAATCTTTGCCTGTGAAGCTGGTCATCGAAGCACTTCTTTGTCCAAGTGCTACAGATCAGAAAATCTGCCCACCTAAACCTACAAATTGTTTCTTTTACGTATTTTACAGCAGCAAGAATAGTGAGTTTCTCTAACCCCGAACCACTTCACAAGCGGCGTCTACTTCGGGCAATCGTTAACCCCATTAGCGCAGGTATCCACCAATAAAGTCTCGCTTCAAGAAAGCCCCATCAACATCATCTCGTAGCCTGAGATTGTAATTTCAAGTCGTTGTCATCTAGCACCGCCAAAGCCTCAAAATACAACAGACATTTTCTTTGTGCGTTGATCGGTGTATTTATTCAAGCGGGCCACCACCACAGATCTCCCTCCACACCGACTCTCAACTGCAAATATGGATGTTCATGCCGTCCTTGAGGGGACGTTGTCAGCTGGTTAGTCCCACCGCACAACAACTCCTTTTCTTTCAACTTCTAGGTTTGAACCCTGCTGACAAGTTTTAGATGCCAATATCCGTGGCAATGCTGAGCAACAGTTGACACAAGCTGCCGACGCCAATTTCGTATGACCCCCACTTTGGCTCACCCCTCTTCCGAGCTTTCTTCAAGTATACCCCCTTTGCTAACTTCAGAATTTAGTCTGCATACGTCACGACCCTCGTCACACAGCTTGCGAGCGAAGACGCAGCAAAGCCCATACGTGTAGCAGCTGGTTTAGCTCTTAAGAACGCCTTCTCTGCCCGAGAGTATGCCCGTTTACGTGAGGTCCAAGAGAAATGGCTTCAACAAGTCGACGCAGACACCAAGAAGGGTGTGAAAGATATTACACTCCAAACACTTTCTTCGGAAAACGCACAAGCTGGCCAGGCTGCGGCGCAAGTTATTGCATCTATAGCTGCCATCGAGCTTCCCAGGGAGCAATGGTCCGAGCTTATGCCAACCTTGGTGCGCAATGTTGGAGAGGGTGCCGATCATCTTAAGCAGTCGTCCCTTACCACAATTGGTTTTATCTGCGAGAGCGAGGACCAAGATCTACGAGACAGCCTAGTCCAGCACTCGAATGCTATTTTGACTGCTGTTGTTCAGGGTGCCCGCAAGGAGGAGACCAATGACGAGGTCCGCCTCGCAGCTATTTCTGCCCTCGGCGACTCTTTGGAATTTGTAAAGGAAAACTTCAAGAATGAAGGAGAGCGCAACTATATTATGCAGGTGGTCTGCGAAGCCACCCAAGCATCGGACTCTCGCATCCAAGAGGGCGCCTTCGGATGCCTCAACAGAATTATGTCATTATACTACGAGACCATGCGTTTCTATATGGAGAAGGCTCTGTTTGGCCTGACTATTATGGGAATGAAGAGTGAGGACGAGGATGTCGCAAAGCTTGCTGTCGAGTTCTGGAGCACGGTTTGCGAGGAGGAGATTGCCATTGAAGATGACAATGCACAGGTTGACTCCTCGGATCAAATGAGGCCGTATTACAACTTCAGCCGAGTGGCCACAAACGAAGTTGTCCCCGTACTCCTTACTCTTCTCACAAAACAGGACGAGGATGCTGCGGATGAGGAGTACAACATCTCTCGCGCTGCCTACCAATGTCTTCAGCTTTATGCTCAATCTGTTGGAGGATTAGTTATCCCTCCTGTCCTTCAATTCGTTGAGGCAAACTTACGCCAGGAAGATTGGCACCACCGTGACGCAGCCGTTTCTGCCTTCGGCGCGATTATGGAAGGCCCAGACGAGAAGGTCCTTGACCCAATCGTGAAGCAAGCCCTCCCTGTGCTCATTGATATGATGGCCGACAAGGTCCTCCAAGTGCAAGACTCTGCTGCCTACGCACTGGGCCGCATCTGCGAGGCCTGCTCAGAGTCGATCGACCCAGCTCTCCACCTTCCTGCGTTAATCTCGTCTCTCTTCACCGGATTGGCGAACAACCCCAAGATGGCCGCATCTTGCTGTTGGGCACTGATGAACCTTGCCGAGCGCTTCTCTGGCGATATTGGCTGCCAAGAGAACCCATTGTCTCCCCACTTCAACGAGAGTGTTTCGCGTCTCCTGCAAGTCACTGAGCGCCCTGATGCGGATAACCAGCTGCGCACTGCGGCCTATGAGGTTCTGAACACCTTTGTCATGAACGCCGCCCAGGACAGCCTGCCAACTGTGGCATCCCTTTCCGATGTCATCCTCAAGCGCTTGGAAGGCACTATCCCTCTCCAGGCCCAGGTAGTCAGTGTTGAAGACCGCATCACCCTCGAGGAGATGCAGACCAGCCTTTGCAGTGTCCTCCTTGCGATTGTCCAACGCCTGGAGAAGGAGATTGCCCCGCAATCCGATCGCATCATGCATGTTCTCCTCCAGATTCTCAACACCGTTGGCCCCAAGTCGTCTGTTCCTGATGCAGTATTCGCCACTGTTGGAAGCTTGGCAAATGCTCTCGAGGAGTCTTTCGCACCATACATGGAGGCTTTCGCTCCATTCCTGTACAACGCATTGACCAACCAGGAGGAGCCAGCCCTTTGCTCAATGGCTATCGGCCTCGTCAGCGACGTTACCCGTTCCATGGGCGCCCAGTGCGAGCCATACTGCGACACCTTCATGAACTACCTACTTAACAACTTGAGGGTGCGTTTAGATCCATCTGGTCTTATATATATTAGTACTGACATTTCACAGAGCACTGCCTTGGCAAACCAGTTTAAGCCTGCGATCCTTCAATGCTTCGGCGACATCGCTGGAGCTATCGGCGGAGCATTTGAGAAGTACCTCTCGGTTGTCGCACAAGTGCTTCAACAAGCTGCAACCGTCCAGGCCAGCCCAGAAGGTTCTTACGAGATGTACGACTACGTGATGTCTCTTCGCGAGGGAATCATGGACGCCTGGGGTGGTATCATTGGTGCCATGAAGTCCAGCGATCAATGTAAGCACTATTGAACTGCGCAAACCAACTCATATGCTAACTCTCAGCAGCGGCTCTACTTTCGCCATACGTCGAGTCCATTTTCCAGCTACTCAACGGTGTCTACATTGATCAGAACCGCAGCGAGGGCTTGATGAGGTCCGCCATGGGTGTTATTGGGTAAGTTTTAATAGCCACTAAAATAGTTTCATTCTTACTAACAACAATTTAGTGATCTTGCCGAAAGCTTCCCCAACGGAGAGTTCTCTCAGTTCTACCGCGCCGATTGGTTGACGTCGATGATCCGCGAGACTCGCTCCAACAGAGAGTTCCAGTCACGAACGATCGACACTGCCAGATGGGCCCGCGAGCAAGTCAAGCGCCAGATTGGCGGCTCCCAAACCGTGCACCAGACTTGAGCCGGTCAACACCAGTCCGAATACACTTCTGTCTCTGGTTCTAGGGCTGGCGTATCGTCATTCACATAGAACTCGTCATCAGCGTCCGTTACTTCCCACCAATACACCCCAATATTTCAATAATATCTTACAAAGCAGCCTGGCCATTCAGAGGGGTCTTGTCCTCGACCGGCGTTTTTGATTAATCGGTCAAGTGATCGTCCCCAGTACCCTCACCAGCACATTTCTAGCACCATGTACAAAAGAACCCCTATACCCCTTTCACAACACATTTCATTCGTTAGAAGATTATGAGGCCATGTCACCGAAGATATGAGGAGACGGGTGGAGGCAAAGGTAGAAGAAGGAAAATGCTTCGCAAGAAAGTTCTTGTGTACAAGCTGGCTTGGAAGTGGGATGCCTGCTTCCATGCCCCATGGAGTCGGAGGAGGCGTGGATTGGACGAATGATGAACAGTGTAGAGAACCCCCCAATCAATGAACACACAGATTCTCATGGAATAATATAACTCAGTTGCATATGTGCCTTTTCAATTGAGCAGTGCATCTTCGGGCGACACGCCTACGCTAGCCGAACATTGGAAGAGAGTTCATGTAGGGGATAAGGGGGTGGCGAGTCCGCTGGGCTCGACGATGCTGATTAGAGCTGGTTTAGAGGCGTCGGCGAGGCGTGTTTGGAGGAGGAGGCCGAGATCGAAGGCATCGCTGGTGGTGAAGTGGGGGACGATGGGGGATTCTTCGATGCGGAGGATCTCGGCGAGCTGGTGGGATGGTTAGGCACATGTAGATAGAAGAACAGCAATTGATTTGAGGGCTTATATCTGTTGGCGACTTTGCGACGGGCTTGAAGGTAGCTGAAGACATGTTTTGAGGATGGCTTTGGTGGGGTAAAAAGTAATATAAATTCAGGGTGCGGGGTAACGATTGCGACACGAGTGGGTGGATGACGTGACCCCGAGACAATACGCGGTAATTAGATACAGATACATCATCCTGACGGACTATTTTTTGAACGGCAGGTTTATAGATTCTAGCGCTGCCCTTTTATTAATTTGAGAATGGGAATAAGTGGCTGAGAGGCATCGCCTGGATATATATGTTCGAACTTTCCTTTATACATTCGTTTGCCTATCTACACTCTCGAAACTGTTCCACCGACACCCGGGTGTCCTGGCAAAAAAGCAGGGTATTGTCGCTTACGTAGCAAGGCGGTGAGGAGCGTGGGGTACGTATGAACAGCCACAAATTAATTACCGTTCGCCATCTGCTTTGTCACATATGCCAGTGCACTTTTTGAGGCACTCGTGCATAATATCAACCACTTTCATCCCTTGATCGGGTTGGGCGAAGAGCCATAGGTGACCGACACAGCACCCAAACGTCTTGGTCTTGCCAGACAAACAGAGTGTTGCCGGAGCTACGCCTGGCCCTAGAGACCAGCGCAGAGCTTCTTCGCCATGGATCCGGCCGTTACCGATGAGCTCAGCAAGCTCGACGATGGCGTCGCCTTTCGAGCTTCTCCCGACCACTTCCACCATACTTGGGCCCGCACATTTTACTCTGCGCCGGAATTGTACATTCGACCTGAATCTCTGGAAGAAATCGAGAAAGTGACTACGCTGGCACGACGATGCCGACGACGCATTACAACGGTTGGCGCCGGCCACTCGCCGTCCGACTTGACCTGCACTTCAAGCTGGATGGTGAACCTGGACAAGTTCAATAAGATACTCTCTGTTGACAGAGAGACTGGGCTCGTGACTATGCAAGCTGGGATACGCCTCTTCCAGCTTTCAGAGGAATTGGACAAGCTTGGTCTCGCGATGCCTAACCTCGGCAGTATCAACGAGCAGTCAATTGCTGGCGCCATTTCTACTGGAACCCACGGCTCGACTTTGCTTCACAGCATTCTCTCTTCTTCGGTTACCCGGCTCAAGATCACCCTCTCGAACTCCCAGACAGTTACTTGCTCGCCAGACGAGAATGAAGATCTGTTTCGTGCCGCGCTCTGTTCTCTTGGCGCCCTCGGCGTCATCACGGAAATCACTTTTCTGGCTGTTCCAGCGTTCTCCCTTCATTGGAAGCAAACTCTGTATCCCCACAAGCACGTTATCGACACATGGAACACTAACCTCTGGACACAAGGCGAGTTCGTGAGGGTATGGTGGTACCCATATACTCGCCGTGCTACTATTTGGCATGCCTCGAAAACTACACAACCTGCTTTAGACCTGGTACATAAAGCTGCTTCCTTCGATTCTGCCTTCGGTTATCACGTCTACCACAACCTACTCTACATTGCACAATGGGTCCCCAGGATCCTCCCGTGGGTGGAATGGTTTATAACTGGGATGCAATTTGGGTTTTCAGCAGGAGAGCAGACTACTATCGAGGCAATTCAACCATCGCGACAGGCTCTCCTTATGGACTGTCTATACAGCCAAACCGTGAACGAATGGGCCATCCCACTTCACAATGGACCAGCTGCCCTTCGCCGCTTGACCTCTTGGCTTAACCGACTCCCGCCTACGGATCCCGAATACGTCGAACATGGTATCCCGTACAGCGCAGAAGGCCTCTGGGTTCACGCACCCATCGAGGTCCGCGTCAGTAATACAACTCTTAAGTTGGAAAACAACGACGGCTCTTCACGGAAATCGGTTCGCCCACACCTCGACACATCTGCCAAGGACGGGCCAACTCTCTATCTCAATGCAACTCTCTACCGGCCTTACAACATGGATCCTCCCTGCCTCGCTCGATACTATCAAGCTTTCGAATATTTAATGAGAGATCTTGACGGCAAACCTCACTGGGCGAAGAACTTCGAGACCACAAACGAAGAACTAAAGGGAATGTACGGCGACGACCTAAAGTCATGGCTCAATGTTAGAAACGAGGCAGACCCCGAAGGAATGTTTGTTGGCGCGTGGCACAGAGAGCATATCCTGGGAGATGATCAACCAAGATTTGCACTCGAAGAAGCCGAAGTCGACAGAAAGCCCATGCGAAAAGGTGGTGTCGAGATCTTCGGGGAGCTTGCCTCTAAAACGGCACAAAAGGAGCGCGATGAAGCAAGCGAGCCACCAATTGCCGTATCTGAAAATGTCTCTAGCTACTCTAGCCAATCGAGCTTCGACCTCCTGAACAGCAGCGAGGCTACAGAGAGCCAGCATCTTCCGAATTCCAGCTCAAACGGCACAAAGGGAAAGGGACTTGCAGAGGCCATGGAGGAAGTTTCCCTGAACAGTGGAGCCACTGAAGCTGTGACCCCGGCGGCTACAATTGCCACATTGAACAGCAGCATATCCAGCATTGAGGCTGTTCTTCGCGACCTTGCTGATAGCCAGACTGTTACGTCTGAGAACACCGCTTCATCGACCCCAGACGGTTCTTTCCAAAAGAAGCCCGAGGAAATTACTTCTGCATCTGAAGAAGCTGCTGCTACCGAAGAAGCTGCACTCGTGGCAGAATTTTGGGCTGGTGCAGCTGCCGCGAAGCAAGAAGCTGCCCGGAAAGCAGAAGCTGTCGCGAAAGAGCAAGCTGCTAAGGAGCAAGCTGCAAAGGAACAGGCTGCCAAGGAACAAGCCGCAAAAGAGCAAGCCGCCAAGGAGCAAGCTGCGAAGGAAGAAGCTGCCCGGAAGGAACAAGCTGCTAAGGAACAAGCTGCTAAGGAGCAAGCTGCGAAGGAAGAAGCTGCCCGGAAGGAACAGGCTGCAAAGGAAGAAGCTGCCCGAAAGGAACAAGCTGCAAAGGAAGAAGCTGCCCGAAAGGAACAAGCTGCTAAGGAGCAAGCTGCGAAGGAAGAAGCTGCCCAGAAGGAACAAGCTGCAAAGGAAGAAGCTGCCCGAAAGGAACAAGCTGCTAAGGACCAAGCTGCGAAGGAAGAAGCTGCCCGAAAGGAACAAGCTGCTAAGGACCAAGCTGCGAAGGAGCAAGCCGCTAGAGAGCAAGCTGCGAAGGAACAGGCTGCAAAGGAACAGGCTGCTAAGGAGCAATCTGCAAAGGAGCAAGCTGCCAAGGAGAAGGCTGCTCAGGAGAAGGCTGCTCAGGAGAAGGCTGCAAAGGAAGAAGCCGACCGGAAGGCAAAGGAGCAAGCAGAGAAGGAGGAAGCTGCCCGAAAGGAGCAGGCCGCAAAGGAGCAAGCCATAAAGGAGCAAGCTGCCAAAGAACAGGCAGCTAAGGAACAAGCTGCGAAAGAGCAAGCAGCAAAGGAAGAAGCTGCCCGGAAGGCAGAGGCTGCCGCGATGGAACAAGCTGCTAGGAAGGCTGCAGAGGATCAGGCTGCCAAAGAGCAGGCCGTAAAGGAGCAAGCAGCGAAGGAGGAAGCTACCCGAAAGGCTGAAGCTGCGGTGAAAGAGCAGGCAGCTAAGGAGCATGCCGCAAAGGAGCAGGCAGCCAAGGAAGAAGCTGCCCGGAAAGCAGAAGCTGCCGCGAAAGAGCAAGCCGCTAAGGAGCAAGCTGCCAAGCAAGCTGCCAAGGAAAAGACTGTTAAGGAGAAGGCTGCCAAGGATCAAGCTGCGAAGGAGCAAGCTGCCGCTAAGAAGGAAGCTGCTGCGAAAGGATCAGCTGCCGCGAAGCAAACGGCTACCGCAAAGAAGTCGGCCAAGGATGCTGAACAAACGGCAACTGCACAACAGGCTCAACAGAACGGAGACGCCCAATCTGGACATATCTCGTTCGCCAAGACAGCTTCCCCCAGCCTCAAAGCTTCCAAAGCCGCCGAGCCAAATGGCGAAAGTACCAAGGCAGTCGAGTCGACCAAGGATGCTGAAGAAAAGACAACGACCACGAAAGCGAGGCGTCTGTCATTCGCAAAGGTAGCTGCCCTCACCACCAAGGAAGCACCGAAATCCACCGAGCCCGCTGCCCCTGTTCTCGACCTCCATCACCTGCCACCATCACCACCTAAAGCCAATGGCAATGGCCGCCAATTCCTCCCTCTCCAATCACCGCCCAACGGCGCGCATGCCAAGTCCAAGGCATCCACCAAGGAGGGAGGAGAATCCCCGAAGGCAGCAGTAAAGAAGGAGCAGAAGCAAACCACCACAACTGATGCCACAGCGTCCCCCAAGCAAGCCAAGAAGGAGCAGCAAACCACCACCACCACCGACGCAGCTCCCCCCTCCAAACGCGAAGCATTCGACCGCAGCGCCTCCACCCGCGCCGCCAAACGCGCCAAGCTCGCCGAACTAGCCGAGCAGTTTGCGCACGTCGAGGCGGTGGAGGTGACGCAACAGAAGGAGAATGTAGCGCCGGCGCCTGTGGCGAGGCCGAATTCGCTGGATGATATGCTGGAGGAGCAGGCGAGGGCGAGGGGGGAGGGGAAGGTGGAGGGGGGGTGGAGACCGCAGGCGAGGCCGAATCTGTCGGATGAGTTGGTTGGGGGGGAAAAGGGGAAGGGGGGGAAGTGAGGAGGGTGGGTGGAGACCGCAGCTTGGGGCTAATTCGTAGAATTGGTAGAGGGGGAGGGGGTGGGAGGGCTGTTTTGATATTTGATTGCTTTGGTGTATTATAACGGCTGAGTGTTATTTCTGACGTCGGAGGCGGAAGACTAGATTTGTTGCGATAGAATCTCCATACAATAAACCTCTACTTAAAATATTGGAACTCCTAAATGGATTCGAGGTTCCTCGATCATTTGGGCGACTTTATAGCGCATCACAAGATGTCACTGTCACCCAAAATCGCAAAATATGTACTTGACCGTGAATCTCTTTCGTCTTCATAGATCCGAGTAATTAGTTTGATCGTGATCATCTACTCTAGTCTGCCCGTCTGTCTCTCTGTCCCTCCGTCTGTGTATATCTTCCTGAAAACGCCATCCTAAAATGCAAAACCCGGCTAGTATGTAGGTACCCATCTCCTATGCCAGTTGGTATACCAAACGCCCCCCACCTCCCAGATCCGAATCCCATATCCCTTCCAAAGCCACTGACTACCTGGTAAACAAAGCGCTCACCACGTAAACGCCTCCTCCACAAAATCAATAACCCCGCACCCCTGCACCTCTCTCACAACCTCCCGGACATTATCCGCCAACCCCCCCGGTCCACAAACCGTAACGCACATAGCCCCCACCTGATCAACGACCTCATTCAGGAGAAGCACGCGAATATTCGGCCGCCCAGGGAACATCTGCACCGTCTGGCTTGGACTCGTCACCTCAGCCGCAGACCTTGGCCTCGTGACAAATAACTTGATAACAAGCAGCTCCCGACGCATCGGCATGCGCAGCAGCTCGTCCACCCAGGGGCGCACCCACTCCAGGTGCTCGAGGTCGCGGACGATCCAGATGAGTGTGATTTTGCGGGTCGCGATTGTGCCGTGCGGGAACTCCGTCAGGAGCTGGTGAACGTGGGAGATCTGGTGAGTGATCCCCGAGGACCCGGCGACGAGGACGCAGTGCCCGTACGAGGCGAGGGAGTGGTGTCCAGCGTACGGCCCCTCGAAGGCGGCGCGTGTGCGGAGGCGCCGAGATGGCGCGGCGAGGGCGCGGGTGTACAGGGAGCGCGTCATGCCTGTGTGTGCGGAGATGAGGAAGGAGACTGAGGTGCGCGCGGATTTGGGGATTGGGGACTCGGGCGCCTTTTCGGTGCTGGGGAGGACGTCGATGGTGTCGATGCAGGTGTGTGATGTCCAGGCGATGGAGAAAGGGTGGGATTCCCAGGGCTTGATGGCTAGGAAGCGGAGGTAGGCGTGTGAGCCGGGGGCGACGTGGAGGAAGGTGGGGAGGTGGAGGGTGACGCGGCAGGCGTCGCCAGGGAGGGCTTCGACGGTGGCGTAGGTGCTGCTGCGGGAGGAGTAGTTGTAGTAGAGCATGCGGGCGAAGCGGAAGAGGCGGTCGAAGAACCAGATTACTAAGACGCCGATTGCGTAGGGGAGGAGTTCGTAGAGGTGGCCGAGCTTGCAGTGTACGCAGACGGCGATGATAGCGGCGAAGGCGAGGATGATGTGGACGTTGAGGAAGGTCTCGTAGAAGGCGTGGCGGAGAGGGGAGGGAGAGGAGATCAGAATTATGAACATAGTCCCAGTCCCGATACTTCCCCACAAGATGAAAGGATCTGTGGATATTTTTCTGCCGGCGCTCGACCAGCCATCGCTGGCAATTTGGGTGATTAGCCAAGCGAGTGTGTGGATGAGGGATTCAAAGACGACCATCCTTCCAATCCAGCGGTGGAGCAAGTTGTAGGTGTCGAAGCTGATCTTTAGCATCGGGATGAGAACATTGTTGCGCCCAGCGAAGATAACGAGCGGAACCATGTTCGATAGAGCAAGCACGCCACTTCTTCCTCGTAGCTGAGCAGCGACAGACCATCGGTTCCCAACGCTGTAGTCGAGTGCGGCGCAGTATGCGAAGTTGGAAATGAAGTAGACGGTTAGGAGAACCATGTGGAAACGAGAGGGCAAGGTGCCGACGCTGACAGCAGAGGAAAGACGCATCTCTCTGTTGTGCCTCTTATTACCCAGTGGGGCGTATGTTACATTCCTCTTGATCCATGGCCACCACGCGGACTGGTTATCTCTCCAGAATACCTGACGGGCCTTTGGCTTGCCCATTGCGACCTTGTGTCGTATCCATGCCCTGGAGATTTCCAACATCCTCACCAGCAGGACACAAAGTCCGAGGATTCCTAGGAACCAGAACAGGGCATCTTGGCACCGTCTGTTGCCCAGTTGATCAACGCCATTTAAATCTGTGGTGTATGGCTCGATCGTTGGATTTGGTCCTGAAATTCCAGTCGTAGCTGTACTTGATAGTAATCCGAGTGAGGATAACTCGGTCGACGACTCGGCCGCCATTGCTGCTATTCGGGCGTGCCGTATTTGTCGCAAGTTCTGCGAGATCAATTATGGTGAAAGTAGGTTGTGAAACGCAAAAGAGGCAGTTGTGTGGGCCGAGATCGAAGTTTATGTCTGAGGCTCTGATTAATTTCATGATTCAAGAAGATTCGGGGGGTTTGGCAGCACTCACTCAACAAAGAGGTAGGCGAAACAATATTCACAATGGAACAATAAGTCCTTCTGCACCTCGCTAACAATAAACAGCCATTGTCAAGTGAATTTCAATCTTTCTCTTCTGTATTCTTCGCCTGCTGAATACCACCGTTGAATAGGTGCGCCTGTTGCCTAGTCGAGACTCGACAGTCGTCTGGGTATCTGTCCAGCAAATATGTACTGTGAATGATGTCTGACTGTCTGATTAGGACCGAAGGGAAAGGAGGCGCAGGTTCATGATATCGTAATATATCACCGAGTTACATAGAGATGACGAAGTAAGGAGCAAAAGAAGCAGACGTCAATCTGTTGTGCCTTGAGAACTTCAGAACACGCCGACGACGGGCAGGCTATGGCTCGTATGAGTGGAGAGGTCACTCGTATAGACAAGACGACTCGGCCACAGGTGCAGCAATTCACGACGGCTGGTGTCGAAAGTCGCCGCCGCCACGCCAAGATGACTGGCTCACCACATCATCCTGTCAGCAAAGGCTATGCGGTGCTTAGTGTGTAGGGTTTGCCTCTGGCGGGGCAGGAAGGGCAAGGCCTAGAGACAGTGCGATTCGTCAATCTTAGGACGAATCGCACTGGTATCTGTTATAATATAATGATATGCTGCTTTTGCTAGACCAATAGGTCGGTCGGCCACGACAAAAAACCACCATATAAACCCCCAAAGTAGCATTAGCACTCGAGATCAGACTCTCGAACACGTTGCATAACAATAGCTATAGGGGGTCATCATAATACCTTCCTGCACCTAGTCTAGAAAGCTAAGGGGGTGTGTTATAATATAGCCGACTATCCGTATAGCAGAGGTAGATTGATTCACTTTTGCTAGTTTAACAGTTATGAGTTTAGTGTTAAACTAGCAAAAGTGAATCAATCACAATCCACTTCTGCTGTAGTTCTTATAGTCAGCTATATTATAACAGTATCCGATCGGCCATAGCGACCTAATGGTCGCGGCATGTTTCAACACTTGGCGTTTCGTTTCGTTCCTTGCGTTGGTGCAAGGCAAGCCGTGCTGACAAGTACCAAGAGAAGTATATGACCTCAAAACGCGACTCCCGAGGTGAGAGGCTCCGAGATAAGAGAGCCAAAACGATGTCATGAGATGCCGAGATCTGGCCGGCACAAGAAGAGGATATTGATCTTTTGAATTCTATACTCGCTATCTTAAAGCTCCTACCCACGTGTCCATGCCACCATGATTTTGTCAGTCAGTCCCGTCATACACCCTCTATAATACACCCCACCCCTCTCTATCTCACAACCTTCTCCACCCACCCCCCCTCCAACCTAGCCACCCCCTTCCTAAACGCCTTCACCTCCCTCCAGCAATCCAAAGGCCTCGTATCATTCCCCCTCAAGCATCTCACCACCTCTCCCCTCGCCCTATCAACCTCCTCATCCAGCTCCCCCACCTCACGCATCTTCTTGCGCTGCTCCAGCCTCTCCCGCAGCTTAGCTACATCCTTCGTCACCGACTCGCGCCCTAGGCCACGAAGGGTGTCACCTGCGCTCAATTCGGCCGAGGTCGCTGCATCGGGTGCGGAATCGTTCTTCTCGGCTTCGAGAAGGGCCGCGAGGATGGAGGACTCGCGTGCTTGGAGGCGCTTGAGCTCTTCGGCCACGCGGGCTTGGACGTGCAGCTCGAGGATGTTGGCGCGGGTGGAGTCGGTCTGTGGGGGGTGTTAAGTTATTGCGCGCCACGTTTTCCACGCTGGTAATGCGAAGGGGGCGTCAATGGGAGGTGTGGATGTGAGGGGGGTTGGGGTGGTTCTGTGCTGTGGTGATGTGAAGATGGGTGGGATCAGCGAGCGCGCGTACCTCGGTGCTACTCTGGAGAGAGTCGACGAGCTCTTGGGAGAAGCGGACGGGAGTTTCGCTGGAGAGTGTGTTAGTTACTGTGCAGCTGAGAATTCAATAGCCTCGGAGCGAGTGTACTGCCAGAAATCTGGCTGGCAATGGCGTGGCATTGCGCTTTGGGGTCGAGGAATTGGGCAGTCATACCTTTGCCAAACGTGAGATGGCGCCTGAGACGCAGGTTTTGATGGTGAACTTCCCATTGTAGAGTTGTGAAGAGGACCCAGTAGCTGTGCGGCTTTGAGCTCGGTTGATCTTGGATCGGGTGCTTAAGCTTCAAGATTCTCGATGTTTTCGGGAACAACATTTGGTACCTTATTATTCAGGCCACAAAGTGCACAACTCCTAATTCTGACGAACGATCCACGTGACTATCACGGGAGCACTTTCAAAGACCGCGATATATATAACGAATACCTGTCGTGAGGGGAAGCAATATCGAGAATATTAGATATGTCCCGACAGACGATTCAGCGAGTTGTGATGACCGGCTCGGTTGCAGCCATCACCGCGACCGGGGCATGGTATGGCGCTGGGCTGAAGACGCAGAAGCAGGCAACTGAGGTAGGGCCTACTCGACTCTGATCATCCCGCGTGCAATTAATATGTCGTATACTGATCTTCTGGCTAGGCAGTTGAAAAGCACCGCGAAGTGACCGCTGAAGAGCAGTTGGCGCTGCTCAACGAGAGGCGGGGTCAACTTGTGGGGAAGAAGATAACTATGGAGAGGAAACTGGCCGAGTTGGAGGCTAGGAAACAGGGCGCAACGAGGGAGGAGTCTAAGTTCGGACAGGAGAGGAGGTGACGGCAGTCAGTGCGGAGGAAGGGGATGTACGTTAGAGTTAATCATCGGGAAAGCAACGTAAGAGCGAGCCTGGGGTGTTTGGTCGGTGCCGCGGGCTGGTGGTATCGACAGAAATCTTCCACCAAAACACACGCAAACCATGTATTTGTATAGCCTTCAAAGCGAGTTTACGAACCCGAATATAGTTTGTATATATTGAACAACAGAAACAAGGAAAATATTTCACGTCTAAAAAGGCACCAAGGAGAGATACGATTTGTAGTAAGTGTAAGTTTTGACTTCATTTTTTGCTATGGGAGACTGAGACGGAGACAGAGATTCAAGCACAACAACCAAGTATCAACTCCCCCCCTTCATACTCCCCAATTCGCTCTGGAATATTCGACAAGTACACAAGTAGTGCGTTTGCTCCTTGTTTTTTCTGCCGGTGCTGGATTTCAAACGAAAGCAACTATACTTCGCACCAATATCCTACTATCTCCGTATAGTCATACCCTCAACGCGGCTACATAATATTCAATCTATAAATACTAGTTCACACACAATCACCCCTTAAAACGGCCTGTTGGGTTTGGTGCCAGCAGGCTTCATCAAATCGCCAAATGCTGCAGCAACTTGCTTCTTCAATTCCTTGTACGTCACAACGAAGGATGTCTGGTCGTCGCGGCTCGTGAGCAGGATCTTCTCGTCCACGCCCGCATCCAGCTTGTTGAGACAGCGGATCATATGCCCGATATCCAAGACCGGGTTGCCGACAGCATCAACTTGGTGGAAGACATAGTCCCTAAACAGCTTGAGCATGTATCGCTCTCCATTCTCAGACCAGTTGCGGTCCCCCTCGTATTCCTGGCGCTCGTTGATAGTGCCTAGCTTCATGAGAAGTCGCGCGAGGCGGCCATTTTCTAGCTCTCTGCTGAGCTCGGAGGCGAGCCTATCGGCTTGGTGGAATGCGCTGTCCAGGGACGAAACGACGTGGCTAGAGATGCCACAAAGGAATTCATCGATGGACCTTGTAGCTGGGGCTACCGCCGGAGTGAGAAGCCACAAGACTGTGTCGCGAATTTCCGCGGAGTAGATTCGCCCAAGCTGCTCAACAGCGACCTTCATGTTCTGCTGAGTGAGCAGGTTATTGGTCCCAATAGCTAGGATAAGCTTGCCAAATAGCTGCAAGTCCTCTTGTTGAAGCTCTTGCAAGGATTGCTGGGTATCGTGATGCACCACATCGAGAACAGCACATGCACTTAGGCGGACACGGTTCTTGTCCGTAACGAGGACTTTGCTAGGCTCCAAACAGCGAACTGCAAGGTTAGAACCATGCACACTCTTAAGAGCAGCCGAAATCTGAACAATGTAGCCCCAAAGGACCTGCTCCGGCACGGTTGTAGCTACGCGGTTGCCAAATCGGTTGGCAGTGGAGAAGTGCGTCTCAACCAGCGTCTTCGCTAATGGATGGTAGTCAGTGACAAAGATCAGTGAGCTGTCTCCGAAAGCACGGGTAGTAAACGCGTCTAACACGGTAACTACGCCGCCACAATCAACCCGACGCCACTCTTTGACCGATCTTATGGCCTTCTCATTCGTTAAGCGGTAGCCTGGTTTATATTAGCTATAGTCGCCTCATGATTATTATCAAACATACCTTCAAGTCTTCTTAAGCAATAGAGGTTTCCGTTCTTGCTTGAAGTAGCCTTATAAACCCAGCTCGGATACCCAAAAACCGTGGCGCTTTTGTGATGGCTAGTGTCCAACGCCACGAGAGAATGATAGTTATCAAGAGTTGGAAGTTGCGAGTCTGCCTTGGGTTAAAAATGTCATTTCTTACTGTGGAAGCTAACTCACTGGGCATGGTTTGAAGCGATGCTTCAGACTTTCTCTGCAACTCTTCGCGGAGCTTTTCTGGCATAAAGAAGTCATGGGGGAGCCTTTGGTATGCAAGCAAATCTTCACGGTGAGGTCCCATTGGGGCGTAGAGGTGATATTGCAACTTAATCAGTCAGTATGGATCAGATATAGTATCGGAGTTGCTCTTACTGGCTGAGCAGTTGCCGCGTAAGAAGCCTGCCCTGGATAGTATGCGGCACTGGCACCAGCACTGGTATCTTCCAAATACGGATTGTATTGTGCCGCAGGAACGGCTTGTGTAGAGTTAGGGATAGTGAAGGGATCAAAGGGCACTTGGGCGTCAAGGCCTCCGCCATTCAGCGTACTCTGAAGAGGCGTTAGGTTATCTCTAGATATCTTCCGAATGGTAGACTCACTGTGTTGAGATCATAATTCTGCGGCGTAAACTCACGGATTTGTGCAGGATTAAAGCTCACAGAATCTTCTTGATGGGTAGGTGTTGCAGTTCCTGCCATTGTCAGTCATAATTATACAGCGGAGTTTGGGGTGTTGCATACCGCTTGCAGCAGATCTAGGTGTAAAAGGAGCGGCACTTGCTGCCCGCGAACTCATCGCAGACAACCCAGCAGAAGTGTTCGCTAAGCCGATGGGGGTGAATGAGGGGGAATCAACGTTGAGGCTTTTTTTGGGCCTATTATTATTATAAAACCTTAGCTATATTCCACATCATTGTGCATGATCGGCCAGAGACATGGGTCCTCGACGAGTAATCCTGGAGACGGGAAGCTACATAATGATAATGGAACGAACAAACATGAACAAAGGCGAGAGGTAGCCTACATTTCAGTTTGGGTTGTATGCGCTTTGTTTGGCTCGTGGTTGAAAGCACATCCCTGATCTTCGTAACGACAGTGTCCGTATATTAAGACGTTTCGACATAGCGTATCTTTCGCATTCTCTGTCATACAGCCATCAGTAAGTATTATTGTGAAAGGTCGCAGATCTCTCCAGTCGTATGTCTCGAATATGGGGGCAAATAAATAGACCTACCACGGCCTTTGGGTCTCGGAGACCCGACAGCTTTCTGCCCAGGGACAAAGCGAGTTGTAGCCATAGTATATTAAGCGCGTTGCACCTATCGGCCTTGCCCCGTTGAGTCGCAGCGGATCCTACGAAGATATTAGCTATATGTACAAACTGAGTCATACAACCAGACTAGAACACCACGCCATCTCCAATCTAACAATTCATAGCAGTCCGGACGGGAATGGTGCAACAACATAGGCGCCACTTGAGGACATCGTCACTTACTTGGCTCTATGGGACATGTCGTAGCGGTCTAAAGCGGTAGCTTATCCCCCTTGGGGTTATATAAGGGCACAGATCCTTAGATGATATTTATCAATTGATACAGCACGGTTTGCGGTTGATTGGGCGTTCCGTAGAAGTATATTGCCCCATATCTCGAGACGCGATCGCTCGAGTTTGTGAGGGCGGTCGCGCCAGTTGTCAGCCTTACAGCATCCGTGCGCTAGCCACACCTTGTGAGGCTCCCAAAGCCGGGTCTGGTCAAGCCATTTATATTTTATGACGGGTATGACACGACGCTAACCTCAGATTATTGGAGTATTATACTTCCATAAAGGCAATTGATTTCGTGCGAATACAGTAACTGAAACATCGGCTACTCCTTCATGGGCTCCATATCACCGATCTCTTTGTGCGTTTGAAGTTAGTGAGATTCCGGTGTGATGGCAACTCCGGCTGAGGTGGATATTGGACAGCTGTCGCAGTCGCAACAAGAAGCGCTGCAACAATATACTTCCGTTACGGATCAAGACGTGCAAGCAGCAATCCCGGTACTTCAGCGGGCGCAGTGGAACGTGCAGGTATGAACTCCAGGATCAAATCCGGAGTGTGCCACGTAACTAACTGTGGCAAAGCTGGCAGTTTCGAGATTCTTTGACGGCGATTCCGGACAAGTCGACCCTCTTGCCGACGCCATCGCAGCAGCTCAAAATGCGCCTCCGACTCGATCTGGCCGCCACGAGAACCTGCAAGAAAGCCTTCTACGAGGCCCTTCGGCTTCAACGCGCCCGGATGCGGCTCCTAGAATCGTGCCTCAACCAGAGGACCAGATCGTCCGCCGTCCTCCGTTACTACTAGGCCTTCTATTCATGCCATTCAATGTCGTTTACAAGATACTGTCATCCTCCTTTGGCTTTTTTGCCTACCTCTTCCCGTTTCTCCCGCAACTCTTTCAACCTCGAAATACGAGTGCCCAGAACAGACGGAGGAATACGACAGGACGGAGGATGTTAAGCCCGCAAGATACAGCAGCGCGATTCAAACGGGAATTTGATGAAGAATACGGATCTAATTCGCTGCCGTTTTTTACAAACGGATATGCCCAGGCACTTGATCTAGCGAAGAAGGACCTCAAATTTTTAATGATCATAATCATGTCTCCGGAGCACGATGACACCTCTTCATTTATCAGGGATACCCTTCTTTCGCCAGTAGTCACCGCCATAATCAACGACCCGTCCAACAATATAATCTTATGGGCTGGCAACGTGCAAGATTCCGAAGCCTACCAGGTGTCAACTGCACTGCGCTGCACGAAGTTCCCTTTCACGGCCTTGATTACGCATACCGCTGAGAGCGGTCCTACATCAATGTCGGTCGTTGCCAGACTTACTGGGCCCATGTCGGCAAGTACATACGCCGCCAAATTACAGAATACGATCACCACCTACACCACGCAGCTGAATGAGGCCAGGCAGGCAAGGTCGGCACAACAGTTTGAACGGACTTTGCGGCAAGAGCAAGACTCAGCATATGAAAGATCCCTTGCACAGGACCGCGAGCGGGCCAGGCAAAGGCGCGAGGACGAGGCCGCCCAGGCAGCCGAGGAGCAGCGAGCTAGGGAGGAAGCTGCGGCCGCAGAAAAATACGCCAACGGCCTTCATCAGTGGAAACTATGGAGAGTGCAGAACATCGCATCGGAGCCTCCCAAGGATGCAACAAATGCTGTCCGGGTTGCATTTAGAATGCCGGAGTCAGCAGAGAGGGTGACAAGACGATTTAGCCCAGATACTCCTCTGGAAGAGCTATATGCCTTTGTTGAATGTTATGGAACGCAGGAGCCAGGCAGCGGGGAAAAGGTCGTGGAACCCGTTGACTTCGAACACAAATACAAATTCAGGCTCGTCTCGCCGATGCCGAGGGAAGTGTATGACCTTGAGCAAGATGGATCTGTCTTGGACAGGATTGGCAAAAGTGGCAATCTGATTGTCGAGCCTATTGTTGACGACGACGACGCAGAGGACGATGAATGATCATAAATATGATTCATGCATGTAAGACGTGGCTATGCTGCAATGCTAAGGTTTCCAAGCATCGCAGGTATGCCACATCGGTCCTCGTGGGGTGGCCACCGGGCCAGAATTCTTGTACTTCCAAGGGAGAAATTGTATGTAGTAGTATATATCATGGTTGTTACGTGGATGCGGGGGCTGTGCAATTCAAATGCAACTTAGGACACAACCTATTCAGAGTAAACTACAACTAGCTTTTGTATGTAAATGAGCAATGCGCCACATGTAAATAAACATTGTGAGTAAACAATATTTTTGTGCGTCGACGTGGTTTTGACTCGCTTCGGTCCAGCTTCTCGGTCCAGTTTCCGGTCCAACACCTCGTAAGTTACCCCATATATCCGCAGACGCCTAAAGTCCGCGTTAGCGCCCCTGCCTATAAGACAAACCTAGGTGGTTACAGTATAAGGAACCACCACTAACGCGGGTGTTGCCTTATCGGACCCTGAGACAAGATTGTCCTCGCGACACATGGTTTTGATCGACTCCGACCACAGTGGCCCATCGAGATAATCCACTGTGCGACAGAGGACAAAAAGAATAACCTTTTGTTTTATAGCGATGAAGTCAATAAAGAGCTTCGGTAACGTGAACCGAGTTCTGGCTAGGCGTCAGACGGCTCGTGAGATGAATTCCTTCCCTGTTTGTGCATCAATTACTATTTACTGAGCAATCCATTAGCTGCCACGGATACCTCGCCAGAGACCACATTGGCGACACCAGAAGAGAATGCGTCGCGCAGTGTTGTACGTGGCGCATATTCACAGTATGGAGTCTAAATGGCTGACGGGCATCCATAGAAACTCTTCTGCGAATCTGGCGGACCCGGCCATACGGTATGAGAATCTCAGACTGTGCGAAGGCATGCGCTAATCTCATATGTAGCAAGGCGAAGAAATACTACACCTTCCTGCGATTGTAGAGGCGGCGGAGTCTTCCCCTGTGGCAGCAAAAGAATGTGCATATCAGATCCGAAAATTCCTCTCGAAGGATAATTCAAGCCGGGCCTATGTCCAATACAATGCTGTTATGCTCATACGCATATTATCGGATAACCAGGGTTCGACTTTCACGAAAAATATCGACAAGAAATTTGTGGACGCCGTGAAGGAGTTGAGCAGGACGAGCCGTGATCCTGGTGTTCAGCAGCTGCTTTCGGACACACTGAACAATTTTCTACGAGACAAGGAACCAGATGTCCATATGGCTGGTTTGCTGGAGATGTGGAAAAAAGAGAAACTCAAGATTGAGAAGGTTCTTACACAAGGGGTAACTAAAAAATCCATTTTTTTGAGTACAAATCTTTTAAAGCGCATTGTGTGCTGACTGGTCTGGTGTTAAGGGTCAACAGGGCCGGCCTTCATGGATAGGACATCGTCCTCGCCCACATGCCCCAGGGATACATTCCAATAACGGGCCGCCCGGTCGACTTCCTGGCCCAGAGGAGCTGGCTTCTCGTGTTGAGGAGGCCAGGAACTCAGCAACACTCCTAACACAACTCATTCAATCAACACCTCAATCAGAGTTTCTTCAGAATGATCTTATCCGCGAGTTTGCAAACCGTTGCCAGGCCGCAAGTCGAAGCATTCAATCTTATACGGCTACCGAGCACCCAGCTCCGGACAATGATACCATGCTCACTCTAATTGAGACAAATGAGCAGCTAACACTGGCCACAACTAAGCACCAGAGGGCCGTTTTGCAGACAAGGAAGGCTCTAGGCGTTGCCTCGCCAGATCCGCAACTCGGCCCTTCCGCTGGCCCTGTCATGACGTCTGGTGTTGCTCCCGCGCAGCCCGCTTCAATCTTCAAGCCTGTTGCCCCTCCGTCACGGAAATCGTTTCCGAAGCCTGCCCAACCAGTTTCTTCGGAGCGCACAGCTTCACCAGTTTCGCCAGAGACTGAAAATCCATTCACAGACCCGGTCGAGTCACCAGACGTCGCTACGCACAGCGTGATTGACCCCAATGAGCCTTATAATCCTGGCTTCGGTTCGAATACGGCTTCCAAGGATCGTCGTGAGTCTGCCACAGGAGGAGCAACATTGGATACTACTAGCACTCTGAAAATTGGGAGGAACCAACCGCGGGATGCAAATGATAGCGACGATGATCCATATGCAACTCCAGTGCCGCAGAGAACACCTGTCTATCGATACTAAGTTCCAGTTGTTTGCACATTCAAATCGATTCTCAGGTCACGAGTTTAGGGTATTCTTGGCCGTGTTTAGCCTGGGTGCTATGGAGTACTCTACATTTTTGCATATTTTATTGATATCGATGAATATGCCAAATGACTTGGTAAAGGAATAGAGTGACTGTGAGCCAATTACCTCGGGCGCCTATGAAGCCTATGTGACAATTGGTGGGCTTTCATGTTGGCAGATGTCTACACTATAGAATTTGCCACCCATCGTCTCTTGGATCAAGAAAGGGGCGGGGTGACACAAGTGGAGCCGCCAACGTCATTCACCGCCTGCTTGTTTTGGGAGGTCCAAAATCGTACTGACGCGTCCCCAAGTACTTTTGAATTACGAATTGTAATGCTTAATAGTGTAACTGTTGATAATACCGTTAATTTTAAATTGCAATAGAGTTAAATTGGATCTGTGCTATCGCTGACAGTTTGTTATCCAATACTTGGCGGGACGATCTGTAGATTTTAAGGCACCACATGGGATTGATCCTTGCCGAAAGAGCGACAGCTGGCGTTCTCCACCAAAACGACGCGCGTTCGTCGCTCGCCCATCAGATATCTTCCAAGAACTCAAACCGGATTTATATTTCGAAAGTAAACTCTTTGTTTTGGAGGTTCTGGGCTTGAAAGAGCTCCAGACCTCGTTACCCCACGTGTAGGCCATGGCCGAACAGGAAAGGTAAGGCTCCTCGTCCACTGCACCAGTCACCTCGAAAGAGACCATTTGCTAGCAATTTCCGCGTCTCGGTCTGGAGTTAAAAGTGAAGCGCGACGTTTCTTGGCTATGGCAATAACGGAGGTTCTGTCCTTTCTGGAAGCAAGTGCTTCGGCCTGTCGTCCCCACAGAACCTAAAATCAACAACCCATGTACGGGGGGGTGGTATGAGACAGCTATGTGATAAATAGCTAACATCAAACTCATCACAGCCACAAGCGTACGAAATCAGCACTGTCGTTACTACGCCGTAACCCAGCCAAAATCGACGACGAAGGGGTGTCTGATTCTGGGTCCGTCGGAAGTAGCTCACAACCAACCTTGCACCCGAGCGTGTCAGGCACCTCATCACTGTCGAGATCACCTACGATGGCTGGGATAACGAAAACCGTTTCGGATTCCGGCCGGAGCGCCAAGTTGCCAGCTGCCGTGGCACCGGACAAAACATTATCAATTGAACAGTCGGTGCGCAAGTTCAGAATATTCGAAGCCTTGAGGGGTGGCGACACGGCTCAGATATCCAAGAGCATTCGCGAGGCGTCCGAGGGAGCTAATGCGGCCAGCCACCTTGAGGATACGACGATTTTACATTTGGCGATACAATGCGCGGAACTTCCGGTTGTCGAGTATGTCATATCAGATGGTGCATCCGCTATCGATGTAAATGCAAAGGACAAAGATGGAAATACTTCGCTGCATCTTGCTGCACTGCAAGGCAGGGGCCAGATTGTGCGGCTGTTGCTTGCGCAAACCGGAATCAACGACTCCATCGCCAACACTGCTGGTAAACTTCCACTGGATTTGGCGCGAACACCGGATATTTTCCAGCAGCTGCAACTTTCCAGGTCGTTGTTTGTCGATACCAAGATCAAAGAAATTCAACTACTCATCTCCGGCGGCAACTATAAAGCGCTTAGTGATGTGCTCGAAGAGCCGCGCGTAAAGACTGTGCTGGATATTAACGGCGGGGAGTTCGCATCTGAAATAAGCACGGTTCAATCGGGTGGCACCTTGCTACACGAAGCAGCCCGAAGGAAAAATACCCAGCTTATTCAAGTTCTCTTGCTGCATGGTGCCGACCCATTCCGACGTGATAGGAGAGGCAAGCTTCCCCAGGATGTCACCAAGGATGAGGCGACGAGGGCTATGCTTAAGAGGTCTCCGGCTGCAGTTGCTGCGCAGAGAGGTATTCAAGAAAAGGCCGTACTGGGCAACTTGTCACAAACTGCTGCTGGCACCACCACCGGGGCCGCAGATGCCCTCGCAGCTAAAGAGTCGCGAGAAATGAAAGGCTACCTAAAGAAATGGACAAACTATCGCAAGGGCTATCAGCTGCGTTGGTTCGTGCTTGAGGATGGGGTATTAAGCTATTATAAGCACCAGGACGATACTGGCTCGGCATGCCGCGGGGCTATCAACATGCGCATTGCCAAACTGAACATGGACCCAACTGAGAAGCAGAAGTTTGAAATCATCGGAAAATCTTCTGTGAAGTACTCCCTGAAAGCCAATCACGAAGTTGAAACCAAAAGATGGTTCTGGGCCCTGAACAACTCGATCCAGTGGACAAAGGATCAGGCGAAGGAGGAGTATAAGCAGAGGGAACGTGTTTCTGAGCTCCTTCGTCAGGCCAAAGCCGAGCAATCAGAAAGAACTTCTAGGGACCATTCGTCGACTAACTTGGCGCCTGAAAGCATTTCCGGAAGTGATATTCGCCGAGGCAGCATGCAGAGCGTTAGAGCGACGCCTACGAGCGAGCCATCCCGCCAGCCAAGCCAGCGTGTTACATTTAAGGAAACAAGTGTTGCTGGTAGTGTGCTAGATGAAGAAGAAGAAGAATGCACCGCATACGGTTCATACGAGGCGAGCTTTGTGAACGATGTAACTCGTACCGCAAGTAATAACGTCAACCAACAATACGATGGTGACTACGAGGAAGACTACGGCGATGATACAAGCAGCCGAGAGCGTGTACCTGTCAGCAAGGATGCGTTCGATATCACCGCACAATCCGCCAAGTTACAACTTGACATGATGAGCCAAGTCCACACTGCTATACTGTCAGAACAAAGCCAGAACCCAGGTGCAACCATCTCAGACCCTTTGGTCAGACAGGCACTATCCACCTATGACAATTCTATTCGAAGCCTTAACGGTCTTTTGAGCGACATGACCAAGATCTCGAAAGACCGAGATGACTACTGGCAACGACGACTGGATCACGAAGCAGAATTGCGTCAAATGTGGGAAGATAGCATGGCACAAGTTGCCCGTGAGCAAGAAGTCTTGGAAGCTAGAGTCGGTGAATCAGAGGAGAAGCGGAAGCGCACGAAGCGGGCTCTGCGAGAAGTGATTGAGAGCACCAGCAGACCAGAAAGCAGGGGTTCTGTTCACGAAGCTGGGCTTGTCGAGGCAGTGGAAGCTATCGAGGCTCCTGACGGCGTCGCTACTCTCAGGCGGCGTGCATCTACCCGAAGCACATTGCGCCGTAGGTCAATAGTGGCAGACATCCAAACCCTTGCCGATTCGGAATCAGAAGATGATGAAGAGTTCTTCGATGCCGTAGATGCTGGCGAGATTGCCGTTGGCGAAATGCAGATGAGCCCAAAATCAGAAGAACCTACCGGAGAAAAGAGCATGCAACTCACTCTGGCTGGCGGTGTTGACTTGACTTTGTCCTACCACGGTTATGAAGATGGTATTCGAAAACGCCTGAAGATGGACGCCGATGACAGGCCAAAGATTTCACTCTGGGTAAGTTATTACACTAGGGCATTGGAGAAACCAGTTTGCTAACCTTCGTTCAGAGTATTCTCAAATCCATGATTGGCAAAGATATGACAAAGATGACGTTACCTGTCTCATTTAACGAACCGACTTCCTTACTACAGCGATGCGCTGAGGATATGGAATATACCGACCTTCTAGATACTGCTGCCGGGCGGGCGGATTCTACGGAGCGAATGGTATATGTTGCAGCATTTGCCGCAAGTGAATATGCTTCAACTATCGGCCGTGTTGCAAAGCCTTTCAATCCTTTACTCGGCGAAACCTTCGAGTATGCTCGGCCAGACAAAGAGTTCCGCTTCTTCATCGAGCAAGTGAGCCATCACCCTCCTATCGGAGCCGCTTGGGCAGAATCGCCAAGGTGGACATACTGGGGAGAGTCTGCTGTCAAATCTAAGTTTTACGGGAAATCCTTTGATATCAACCCTCTAGGCACATGGTTCTTAAGGCTCCGTCCCACAAATGGGGACAAAGAAGAGCTGTACACCTGGAAGAAGGTCACCTCTTCTGTCATCGGTATTATCACTGGATCCCCAACAGTTGATAACTATGGTATCATGGAAGTGAAGAACTGGACTACAGGCGAAGTTTCGACTGTTGATTTCAAGCCACGAGGCTGGACCGCCAGCTCGGCCTACAACATCAGTGGCCGCGTTCTTGATGCCCGCGGCAAGCCACGCTTCAGCTTGGGAGGTAAATGGGATAGCAAGATCTATGCCAGGTTAACGCCCGGCTACGAAGCACCGATTGAAGAGCCCAAAGGTGAGCTTCGCCACCAAGATAGCGTCCTCGACGTGAACCAAGTTTTCCTAGTCTGGCAAGCAAATCCCAGACCTACAGGAATCCCCTTCAACTTGACGCCGTTTGTTGTTACTCTGAACGATATCAATGATAAGTTAAGGCCATATCTGCCGCCAACCGACACGAGATTAAGACCGGATCAAAGGGCTATGGAAGATGGCGAGTATGCTTTGGCTGCGACTGAGAAGAACCGTGTTGAGGAGAAGCAGAGGGCTACAAGGAAGAGGAGAGAGATGAATGGAGAGGAGTTTGTTCCTCATTGGTTCAAGAAGAATAAGTGCCCGATTACTGGTGAAGAGTACTGGGACTTCACTGGTCAGTATTGGGAGGAGAGGGAGAAGGCTGGTAAGGGCGAGAGCAATTGGGATGGGGTTGAGCGCATTTTCTAGATTGTTTCCCTGTAATAGTTTGGCTTGCGATCGATGAGAATAATAGAACGTGGATATGTCACTGTTTTGTGCCATCTCTAAAGTTCACGTACAATACAAATGTGAAAGTAGATGTGAACGTAAATGTGCTGTCCCAATGAGGACTAGTATTGTGCACCTCCCTCAACCACAAGTCCAGTGTCAATGCCAACATCATTATAGCAGTTGTCCAAATGAAGCGCATATCTCAATCGGTGTCCTTGGAGGCCGCAAGGTCTGCCAGAGCAGTTTTCACTCGCCGCCCAGCTCAAGCATTATATACCCAGCGGTGTTTCGGCACCATTTCTCGACTATCCGCAGATGTCGCACCAATAACAGCGGCTGGGCCACCGCCCGATGCACCCGTTGCGTCGGCGGAGCATACGGATATTCGAGTTGCGCGGAAGAAGAAGCAGGCGGAGCTGTTGAAGAGGGGGCAGGATATGCGGGCGATTGGAAAGGGTACTGGTGGCGGCTCGGCGAAGACGAAGAGATTTTGGAAGGATGTCAACGTCAAGAAGACAGATGGTATGCAGTTATTCACGCAAGCCTTGATATCATAGCAGATCATATGGCTAATTATTTCTGTTTTATTAGATGGTCATCAAATCTTCCTAGACACCCGTCCACTCCGAACCCCTACGAAACAGATCCTCAGCGTCGCGCATACCAAACTCCATCTCGCCCACGCAATCGCCTTAGAATGGGATTTACTCGTATCCGCGCAGCAGGCTCTACGCCACCACCTCATTCCCCTCACTTCCCTCACCTCTCGCGCTCTCGATATCGCCGAAGAAGACAAGAAGCCGTCATCAGCGTCTAATCCGAATGGCCTCCGCAACACCATCACCGAAACGCTGATGCGATACCTTGACACCGACTCCCTGCTCTGCTGGGCACCTACACCACCAGATGACCCACCGGGGTACGAGACGCACGTTAGCCGCACCGAGAGTCTACGCAGTATACAGCAGAGGACCTCCCTGCCTATCATCCAATACTTGACGGAGCGTGTGTGGCCAGGCGTGGAAATCGTACCAGTGCTAGACGAGGGCAGCATTATGCCCAATGCGCAGCCACAGCAGACGTTGGATGTGATCAAGGGGTGGATCATGGGACTTCCCGCCTATGAACTGGCGGGGTTGGAACACGCGGTGTTTGCGGGTAAGGGGCTTCTTGTTGCTGCTAGGTTGCTTGTGGAGTGGAGCGAGGAGCTTGCTCATCTGAGGGGAGAGGAGCCGGAGAAGAAGTTTGGTATTGAGGAGGCTGCTAATGCGGCTACGCTTGAGATTGAGTATCAGTTGGGGATGTGGGGTGTTGTGGAGGTAAGTTATTCTACTGGTCCTCTCTAACGTGAAGTTGCTAATATATATATACAGGATACCCATGATGTGGACCGCGAGGATGTGAGGCGGCAGTTTGGCAGCGTGATACTTTTGGTATCTGGAGAGAAGGCACCATAGATGTAAACTTTGTAACAATATTTGTACTTTTCAATGTAAACTACGGAATGGCCGCCATTCATTTGGCGCTATGCATCTCCACATCTCTCGGCTGGGGTTTAATAACGCACAGCGAAACAACCCATCATTGTGATATGTATGTAAACATCTTAACAGCAAAAATACACAATATATAAGATATATAAGATATAAGTTCTAGCTATCTCATACGAATTCCATGCCCAGATGCTTCCAAGACGAAGCTCCCAAAATGCCATCCTCTCATTGCCCCTCCAGGTACACAGGCTCTCAAAATGCCAGATCCATGACTGGTCCGCATACGTGACGACGCTGCCCCTCACTCGCACTCGCACCCCACCATGACCAAGCCAAGCCGTGCCGCGCAGCTCCATGGCATTCAGCTTGATTTACACGTCACGTCGCACTCAGTCACTGGCTTCCTATATCATGAGTCCTTCCATCCACAGGATTTTGATTCAGACCCCTCATTGTACCATCATCCTACATAAACTACTACAATCCCTACAGATCTACGGTCTACAATCAACCACAGTCCCTTTGAAAACTTACAGGAGTAGCAATTATGGATTTCGTCAACAAGCTCGCCAGCGGTGGTGATAACAACAACAACAACGCTGGTGGTAACAACTCTGGAAACAACCAGAGGAACGACGACCAATACGGCAACAGCAATAACAACAACAACAACCAGAGGAATGATAACTCTGGGGGCAGCAGCAACCAGAGCAGCGGTGGCGGCCTCTTGGGCGGCCTGATGGACAAGGTCAACTCAGCCCAGAACAGCAACAACCAGAGGAATGATAACTCTGAGGGCAGCAACAACCAGGGCAGTGGTGGCGGCAGCTTCTTGGACGGCCTGAAGGACAAGGTTAACTCAGCTGCCGGCGGTGGCCGCGAGAGCGAGAAGAACGAGGATATGCTTGACAAAGGTATTTGAACCTCGTGCTTCCTCCCCATACTGCGCCAACTCGCTCCGAATTCAGCTGCACAGTTCTGTACTAACAAATTCATAGGCATTGATTTCGTGCAGGAGAAGTTCCTGGGCCAGGGCAAGCAGGATAATGAGTCCGCTATTGAGCAGGCGAAGGATGGGCAGATCGCCGACTTCATCCGTGCGCAGTACAAGGGTGCTACTGGGTCTGATTTCCCCATCTCAGACAAGAAGTCTACTTTCAACTGAGTGGTGGATGGGTATATGGTTGGAGGTTGAGGACAGCATCTGAGCTGTAGTTGATGCCTAGCATGGGCTATATCATGAATAACGGTTCACGGGTCGGCTTTCAATGCAATCAATGATTTTATGTGTATTTTTGGGTCTTGAGGCGAAGACCCCTTCCCTAGTGACTATGTTTCTAAGTGCACTGCCTTGAATACCGACAAGTACAGTATTGTATGTAAACCAGTACAGTATAATGCTCAAATTAAATATGAATATGCTCTCCAAAGGAAATCTGGTGTATGTAGGCAGGTAAATATAGAGATATAGTAGGAAATCTATTGCATAAACAACATATCCGATCTATAGCTGGGCGGGTATCAAAGCTTGGATTCAAATGGAGGGGCTTCCTGTCGTAATCTCACGACACCCTAAATAAACGTTAGCACAATGCACTTTGTAGAAGGGGTATATACGGGGTATAAAAAGCGGAATGCATACCTCTTGAATGCAAGTTGCAATCAGTCTACCATCCGCAGACCACATCTTCTGGAAAACCAGCCCCCTCCCATTCCCAGACCACGGGCTCTCCATCTCCGTAAACACCCACTCATCGGCCTTCAAGCTCCTCGGCTCATGGAAATAGATAGTATGATCAAGACTAACCATCATCCCAACCTCCGGCCTATCATTGCGATTATCCAAATCATCCCCAAAGCCCTCCGTAATCTTATTCCTACGCATCTGCTCCGCAGCCGCCGGATTCGCCTCAATTCTCTTCGCAATCGCACTTCCCGGCGTCGGGAAGCGCCAGAGATTGTGAATTCGTGAGATCGTGCCGATGAAGTACGAATCGGACATATAAGCCAAAGCAGACAAATGCGCCTCGTGGCCACCGGCTTCGCTGATCTTGCCCCTCGCGCGGATCCACTGTCTCGTCTTCTTCGCATTCGGCTCGCCGTCGTTATTCAGGATAGCGACTCTCTGGCTCTCGAAGGGAGGGCCGGAGCTACCATCCGTCATGGACTCTGGGAGGTCGGGCTCAGGAGGCGTGATGCCCTCAGGCATCAGAGCAGCATGGTGTACCGTCTCGCGGCCTCCCGATCCTTCTCTCGCGAACGACATTGTGGTAGTGAAGATGCACTTTCCCCTCTGGCGCGCCTGGACAGTGCGCGTGGCGAAGGACTTGCCCTCCCGAACGTGCTCGACGTGGTAGAGGATGGGGATGGTCGAGTCGCCGGCGAGGACGAAGTAGCAGTGCATGGAGTGGATTGTGAAGTGGGATGGCACGGTGCGCTGGGCTGCGGCGAGGCATTGGGCGATCACGGCTCCGCCGTAGACGCCGCGCGCTCCGGGGGGGTGCCATAGGGGGCGGGTGTTGGTGAAGATATCCTGTAGGGGGAAGAGGGGTTAGCGCGGCAAGGGTGCATGGTGGGAGGGAGATGGCACAATGAATAGAACATACAGGTCCGATTGCATTCAGTTCGGTCAGCTCGAGGGTGTTTTCGATGGCAGACAGTTCGGGGTTTTGAGGTGGTGGTCGAACCAGAGTTGTCCTGGTGTCGTCCATTGCGCTGTGAGCGGTGCGATGCGCCTTTATCACTCAGGGCACAGTAGGGTGGCGACGGGGTTATATATGCGGATTCGAAGTGCTTATAAGAGTGCGAGATGTAATGCTGCATCTTTTCTCGTCCGAAACCATTACTATGGGTCGGTTGGTTTGAGTGCCAAGGCCGTCAAACTTGCCGAGGCATTGTTGGAGAAGCCAACCACACGGAATTAGGGTCGCCCCGGAATTGGAACTCCAGCACCTTGGTGATTAGTGATGTAACGCCTCCGTCTCCCTTGACCATTCAAAGCATCGCGAACCTTGAACCTTGACTCTTATTTACACAGCCGCTCTCAACAAACCCAGGCACTGGGACAAGCATGTGATAATAGTAACGGCTTTAAGATTACCCCTATCTTACACTTCTTTTAAATGCTCGCTATGCGCGCCCAGAGAACCTTCTTCACTGAAAAAACAGAACTGGCAAGACAGCACAGCGCTGGCTTCGCTCAAAATACAATAATACTAAATCTACATTCAACAGCGTCCTGCGCCATAACCAGATCAATACGGAGGCTCTACCATCCCTGGGTCCTGGCGTTTGTCATTCCCAGTGGTGATACCCTTCAACAGTAACTCAAGGTTCAGACCTGGAGTGGCTTCGCGACCCTTTCCATTTTCTATACTCTGAGGTCCTTCTTGGGTACGCCGGCCACGACTCTCACTCCGTCCATTCTGCAGATACTCTCCGAGCGATATTTCCTGAGCTCGAGTTTTTAGGTTCCTCGATCCGTCCTCGCCGCCTGTTGGACTCCCTCCGACAGTCAGAGACGCGGGCAATGGAGGTACTAGCGGCACCTCTTCCTCATCTGCCTCCCTAGCACCTCCATCCCCAGATGGAGGGATCACAGAGTCCGACTGGACAGGGTGAGACCTCAATGGCTTAAAACCCTCATTGGCAATGGCCCTCTCCTGAGACTTCAATTGCGAAATCTCGTTCGAGGCTTTCCGTCCCCTGTCGACTATTGGGCCACGATTGTCGTACGAAAACTCTGAAGGAGATGCATCGTAGCTCAACATACTCTCACTGCTTGAATCGTTTAGAATGGTACCGACGCCTCTTGATGGCGGCGCTTGGCCAGACAGGACTCTCTTCAGCTGGTCAACGCGAGTTATGGAATTCTTGCTTGAATCACTTGGAGTGCGGTCCGGGTCGGTGCTTTGGCGTAGTTTTGATATCGCAGATAGTCCACCTATAATCCCGTATGCCTGGGAAGGCGGCCAGCTACGTTGTTGGTGCAAGCTATGAGTTGAAAGGGCTCCTCCATTGCCGTTAACTGTGAGGTAATTTCGAGCCTGTCCGGTAGCATTCGTTCCGGATCTAGATCCGCTGAGAGATACAGATTTGCTACCAGTAGCCCTTGAAGCAAGAACAGCTTCCTTGCTCCATTCAGATAGCATTTCCTCCTTGACAGCTTCTGGGATAGTAGCGACTGGGTTTTGGACCTCCTGGGGTTGACTTAGAATTGGATGGTTGAAGCTTCGGTTGGGAGATGAGACTGGACTAGTCGCTGCTTCAGATGCTTGGGAATAAGACACTTCAATCAGTTCGACCAGCATTTCCCGATCATCGAATGGAGTAAGGGATTCGGACTCGAGCTCATGCCTAGGTAGACCTTTATGTGGCGATATTGTCCCTGGGATACCAAGCTCCGGAAGTGGCACAGGAGGCATTTGGATTATCTTGGCCCAGAAGCCCTTGCTTTGCCGACGGAATATCTCATCGTAAATCTCCATTCCAATTCCAGATGACCTCAAATCGAATTTTTCGCTCAGTGCCCAGAAATAGCCATGGCAGAGACTACCCATGCGTACTTTGGCAAGCGTTTCGGCGTCCTGGATGTCTTCCTGGAGGCGGAAAATCATAGGTAGTCCGCTCTTAACGGCATTCATGCCCAGCTTATCAGCCAGTTTAACAAGAATTAGGTGCAGCAAGCCAATATCTGGTTCAGAATCCGTATACTGGAGTGCATTTTCGTATATTGCGAGGTGGAGAAGCTCAACGACGTTGGTCTTCTGAAGCTTTGCTGCCCTTTCCCTATGCGAAGTAGCAGAAACTGCACGCCTTGCCATGTTGTCGGTAGAATCGTCGCCAGAGCTTCGCATTATACCCTTGTGCTGTGTGTGGGGTGCTTTCTCGTCCAAGGCAGTAAGCTCTTCGCTACTCGACTCTCGGTCCAGCCATGTCAGAAAGGCATCAGCATATGCAAGTCGCACCAGCCCATCACTATCACGTAGGAGCCATTGCGTAGACTCCCACACGCCAAGTCCGACTCTTGTTCTGCCAAGAGTACTTTCAGTTACCTTCGATCGTTTGGTGGCCACAGTGAGGATGCTTTTAACGGATGTCAATGCAGATAGCTTCGCCGTATCGAAAGAAAAGAATCCATCGATTCTGCCATCCTCAACAATATTTGCCGCCGCAGCAACAAGACTTGGGGTACCTTCTGCATCCTCGACGGTTGCTCCATCAGTTGGTGTAACTGGTACTGGTAACGGCTTTAAGCGAAGCAATAAAGCTGAGATCATATCAGATATTTGATCAGCATAGTAGACATGGGTCGCCAAATCTCCAATGCAGCGTTCGAGAACACGCAAAAGATCGATCTGAACTCTCGAAGCGTTCAGCACGCCGTCCGCGGCCACTCCATCGGAACTCGCAGTTGGTAGTGTCTGTTTCGATGACCTGCCGTCAAGACCTCCTGCATTTGTAGACTGAATAGGAGACTTTGCCTTGCCTAAGTGGAGCAACTGAAGAACATGCTGTATAAGACCGAGCAAAACGTCCATAACGCTGAGACCTATTAAATTGATATCGGAGCGCAGTAACGAGCCTATCATCGTAGCCAGGACAAGGTCTTGTGGCGCACTATTTTCGTTCAGGGGGCTTCTGATGAGAGCATCCATGGCTGTGACGAGTATCGTGTATCGCTCTTGTACGGGCGTCCACCTAGCAAACATGAGAAATACTGTAGTTGCCCATCCACAGTCTTCACTATATGGATATTGCTGGTCGATCAGGATATCGCCTTGGATGACTCTATCCGAAATGAAGCTCAGTGTTGCGAGAGTTCCACTTCGAATTTGAGATCTGCTATTAACCTCAAAGATCTGCTTCAAACACTGGATGGTGAGAACACCAATGTCCTCTTCGGCCAGTTTGTCGGCATCGGCAGTCGTACCAGAAAGCGCTAGTGGGTCTACGTCCGTTGCTGTTTCCACGGTCCTCACAGTAGCAATACTTACCCGTCGCCGTAGGAGCTTCTCGGAACTGATCCTCTCTTCTAAATGAGCTCTATTGAGCAGAATGTCGAGATACCTCGGGTTATCGGTCCACAAATTCTCGAGAAGTACGGGCATAATGACATCAAGCTGTCTTCCGGCCACGGATCCCAAGGCTTGCGAGGAAACAACACTTTTAAGTGCGCGTAGCCCAGCAACTCTCCACCTCATCGCCAAGGGCGCACTCGCCGAAACTATTGGCGGTGGCTTAGGGCGAGTTGATGCAAACGATGCATAAGTTCTGACTATATCTTCGTAGTGTCTGAGGTATTCTTGGTCTGCCGACAACGAGGCGCCATCATGATGCTCACAGAAAGCTTCAAATGTTGGTATGGAAGATTCGACCATCGTAATATCGCCGGACTTCAGGATAAGATGGAGAATCTTCAAAACATATCGCGCGTATAAGGGGAGGTCGCGAGGAGTCTTCTCGATCAGCGCCTCCAGTATTTGTAAAGTGACTTGGACATTCCTATGCGATCGGGAAAATTAGCTTATGACTGAGGGGCAAATCTTGATCGCAACACTTTCCATCCACAACGACCAAAGGGATGTGAAACTTACCCTATGCGTGCTCTCCAGACATCACTAGCTGTCTTGGTCTCCAGGAAAGCTCCTACTTTTTGTACTTTGCTGCGCCGTGTTGTTGCGTAATATGAGAGATAGCTCAACTCGCTGGAATTCGGCTTGACGTCGACGGCCCCCTTCGTAATTCTGGGATAGCATTTCAAGACCAAAACCTGGTGCTTCGGACGACATTTTTGGCTTATTGCGTGCATCTGTTCGGTGACGGCCGCGTGGATGGGTTCGAGGTTCAGGTCCAGGCCAAGTTCCAACCGGCTTGAAGGTCCCGAAGATAACAACAATTAGGGTGTCCTCAGGGTTCAGTTGCGACAAAGTTGGGAGATTAAACCATCGACGTTTGAGGCGATCGCAACTGAGTTAGGGCGGAGACTTGCAAGCAACATCGATGGATTTAGGCAATTGAGGGTATTCAGGGTATTCGAACAGGTAGATGTTAGCGCGATTCCCCTCGTGCGTCAAGGCTCGTGCCTCTGGCCACAGTACACAGATGCCCCGACCCTCCCCCAACCTCGGCTGACCCAACCCCCCAACAAATAGGACCAGAACAAACAGTTCCTCAACTTCTAACCTCGAACCTTCCACTTCCAACAACACCACACCACAACCCGCCAAGTCTGCCCCCTACAATAGTAGATTAGTAATGCAAATTGCCTTTAATATAGACAACTGCTTTCTAAGGGAGGTGCTTTTCCAATGCATTTGCTCAACAGAATTTGTATGCCGACAGGACTGAGTAAATAGCCCATTATCCATTAATGAACAAGAAGCATTTAATCCTAAAGCAATACAGAGTTGTCTCTTATGCATTACCTAGAACCGAATCTGCTACATGTAACGCTGACTTCTAAATGATAGAAGATACAGAGGTTTCTTGCGTAAGGTTGACTTAACAGAGGAGGCAGGGGATTAAACATAAAGGCTTTCTAAGTAACACGTTACAGTATTGTAAAGAATACTATATTGAGTTGAACACGAAGCTCCTATCTAAGAAATAACTATCTACTTATATAGTAGCGTCGTGCTAAAGGGAACTGTAAGGAACTATACAAGTTCTAACAGTTCCTATGGTTTGTAATGGTGGGTGCACCAGATGT